GCGACTGGTTTCGCCTGGGCGGAAGCCACACGCACGCATGATCCACGGGAGCCCTTTTTGGAAGGTTTTTGAATGGTGTTTAGGAGGGAAATTGATTGTAGAGACTGTTTAGGGAATTCCTTTTGAATTGTATTCATTAAATAGTTGATTTTTCTAGGGTTTGGGTATCTTGAATTTGAATGTAATTTGAGATCTAGGGTTTCTTGCTTGGGCTCTTGGCGTTGCCGGAGATTGTCGGAGAGTTGTTCTTCCTCTCGAATCGAAGAACATTGTATCTTTCTTATTGTCTTGCTTCTACTATTGGAATACAATTGATTTGTGTGATTCCTTCTCAGATTTCTAGCGTATTCTTCCTGTTTTCCCCTGTTTCTTGGCTGATTTCTGCTGTGGACAGCAGTTTTACATTGGATCTATTTAGTTTTGGTGAGAAACCCTTGGAAATCCAAGTGTTTCCTATCAGAAACCACCCATGGTACAGTGTAAATGTGTAATGGTTATCAGTAGAAGATCCAAACCATGCCGGTCCATCAAGAACCTTTGAATACTTAAAAGCAAATCGCAGAAAAGTAGTGACAGACAAGCTCTCCAGTAGCTAACAATGTACATCCTGTTTCATACGAGATGAGATTCACCTCGTTATTTCCCACTTCAGAGATATCTACATGAAATTGGAGCCTAAAGGATCATCTTTTGTGATACCATGACTTGTATATGGTAACCTATGGTACTGTATGGTAAAGATAATTCAACAACAACAACATCAAATCTTTATCCCACTACATGGGATCGGCTACATGAATCTTTTTTTTTTTTTTTTTCATTGTGTCCTGTTAAGAGTCAAATTCTCATTTAAATCTAACCAAAAAAAGATCATTTCTAATATTTTCTAACCAAATCTTTTTAGGTCTACCTCTGCATCTCTTAACATAAGTCAAATCTAATACATATGCTCTCATAACCGGGTCATTGAAAGGCCATCATTTTAAATAATGTCGTTGCTAGGTCCCATGTTCCGAATGAAAAAAATGGAGAGTTGTGTTAGGTAGTTGACAACCAACATAAAATTTGTAGAATAATCATGACAAAAATTATTTGAATAAAAAAATCAAAATCACACTAAGAAAGCTTGAGGACATAAACTTGGCAGAGTCAAACAACTACTTGTATGCCCAAAAAAAAAAAACATCCGAGGAATTTTTTTCTTTTATCAAGGACAGATCAAGTGGCCTTGCAAAAAGTATGAACACTTGTTCCAATAAAAGCAAATTGCTGCACAAAAAGACGACCACATAAAACAACTTTCATACCTGTTGCATCTGAATGTTTCTCAAGGATGGCCGGTAGATGGGTGAAGTTCCAGATGAAGACCATGGAGGTGTACTCTTCTCTCCCTCAGATGCAGGAACTACTTGAGTTGGTTTCACAGCAATTGGGTTAGAGGAATCCCCAGGTAGAAATGAACTAAGCCTGACCTGTCCAGCCCTCGTCACCTCGACTGAGTCTTCATGATTTTCCTTTGGCTTGATACATTCTTCTTTAGTTTTGCTTTGCTCATTCTGAATGTCACGGAGGGAGGTGGCACCTTTAGCAATTTTAGCACCACCCCAAGCAGGACCCTCACTTTTTGGTGGTGTTGGTGGTGGAGCTTTTTTTGGGCTGTCATCAAGAGCACCACTAAGAAACATAGAAAGGCCACCTTTCTTGTTTTTTTTCTTGGTTAAGGTTGGCCAAATAGCCTTATTGCTGTTGGAATCATGGGTGTCAGGAGAGCAATCTTCAACCATCTTACTTCCAATAGTTAGTTCAACAGTCATGTTTTCCTATTGCAAGGAAATTATATCATTAAAAATGTGCTTTGCAGCCAAAATAAGTAACCCATGGGAAAAACAAATAAGTAACTATACTACAAAATGCATAAAGTTTGTAAAAATAGAAACAAAAAACAGCTTATTTGTAATTAATGCAATTTAAATAATGTACGCAATTGCACATCAAAAAATTGAAATATACTTGGTACAGGTGCAAGGATGAAAGCAATGAAAGAAATGAAATATACTGTGATAAGGAAAGGCTCAAGAGCTCACCTTTGCTTTAGAAATGAGACTTTTCTCATCAGGGAAACCCTTAATTGAGTTTTTTTCTGTGAGTAATTCATTATTTATAGATAAAGTTTCTAGCTGTGCTACCTTCTGCAAGCTTTTTCGCCTTTGCTTTTTTGAGGCATTCACCTTTTTATTCCCTTTCTCATCAGACAATCCTGATGAAGAAAGTTTAGAAACTGTCTCATGGGGAAAACCAAGTTCAGCAAGTGCATCCTCTACAATGGATCTGGTTTGAAGCTTCGCAATTTGCTGGTCATCAAGAATATGACCACAGCGCTGCTTTGATTCAAGCATCTCTATTTGCTGCAATTTTTTGCGAAGTGCTCTAACTTGTTTCAAGACAGCTTGATCAGCGTCACTCTTCCTTTGCCAAAAGCTTTCACCAATGAAATCCTTATAATCTTTGGGAGTTAATTTCCTATTATCCCGAGGCATGGGATTACCAATTTCGTTATCACCATCCTCTTCACTGTAAATAACAACAGGGAAAGCGACGGTTGATGTAGGAAGGCGGCGGTAACTCCATGGCTCAGAGGATCTTGCATCCAACAAATTTTCAAGCCTTGCCAGAATTTCCAGAGACGCAGTCCCAATAGCAGGTGCTGAGACAGTGAAAATGTAATCAAAGTTCCGGATAACCAAGTCCTGCATGAAATAATTTCTTTTCAGGTAAGAATCAGAGTAAATTAAGAAAAAGGCCTATATTGATTATAGAAAACGTATGAAATCAAGCCAACCTCGCAATATTTTCTTAGATCTTCAGCTTCTAATGAATCTGCAATCTCAAGAAGTTGTATAGCATTCCTTGGCTCTACAAGAAATTCGGCTGCAACCTTCTCACAGAGGCTCTTCAGACTTGGTACAGGTTTACAGACTTCATATTTATTCTGCACAAATGGCTCAGAAATATCTGGCTGTATGTCACTAAACAAAAGTTCTTCATCTAAGCCATCTATGTCATGGCTATCCTTCAGGATAGAAGTCTGATGGCTTGACTCCAATGCAGGCAAATAAGGAGGGTGATAAAGAGCACAGACAGCTAGTAAATGTGTTTCACCAACACAAGCTGATGTAACATGCTTAATACCAGGCAGGCGTGTTAATACAGGATCCCTATTCTTCCACTTCTTTCCATCCCACATGTACACGTCTCCTGTTGCTGTAACAGCAGCAGTCCAGTACTTTCCAGAAGAAATGCTTACGACATTTCCGCCACATAACAAATGCACCTATCGATAATGGAAACATAAGTAGCAATATCACAAACTTCATCAGAGAATAGAATGTACAGCCTATGCTCGCTATATGCATGATAGGAAATACTTGAGTTCGCAAGTAACCCTAAGGGAAATACTTGAGTTCGCAAGCAAACCTATTACTAAATTGGTGAAAACAGCGAGAATAATTCAAAATCTGGACGAAATCAGCCCCAAAACGATGGATTGCAATAAGAGAATCGAAGCCAAAAAAACACGAGAACAAGATACAAGTGATCCTCAATTTGAGAGGAGGGTCCTTCTCTCCCAAATCTCTAGACAAAATAATCTAGAGCCAAAATATCCAAGAACTCCACGAGAAACTCAAATCATGCATAAAACCTAACCCTAAAACAAACCCTCCTATTAATACAATTAATTTCCTAATTCAAACATCCCTCATTCAAATTTTCCCTCTCAATCTAGCCTCCCAAATCCCCCTCCCCCAATTGCTCCAAGTGTGTGGCAGCATTAAAGGAGGCGGACCCCTTTCCGCCTCCTGTAGACATGAGCTGGCCGCTAGGCCGGCTCCTGGGCTGGTTCAGGGTGAACCAGCCTATCAATGCACTTGACCATTCGTTATCTGAACTAGCAAAAAGAATTGGCTCAGAAAGAATTCATGGAGGAAAAAACCTGCTCGCATCTTAGGTCGGGATCTGAAGATGCCCAGTAAAACAGAGCACCATCTTCAGTCAGAGCGCTACTATGAGTCATTCCAGCAGCAACTGAAATGACATGAAGCCGTTCCATCCGATGGAATCTAAGTAGTGCAGCACCACATTTCTTCAAATTCCTAGCAATAATAACCCGTCTTGGGTTGACTTGCCGATGACCCCAGGTGAATACCTTAAATTATATGAGAAGTGAAAAATGATTAATAGGTAACCATGCTGAGATCTTAACAATTTCTTCAATTTGAAATCCACATGAAGTGATGATAACAAAATTAACCAGAGAAGATGGGAAGATTATGCTAAATATTTACCTCCCCTTCAGCACTTAACACTACTGTATGATACTTTGCAGCTGATATTCCCTTGAAAGATTTTCCTTTCAAGTACTCGACCACTCGAGGAGTGTAGTTAGATGCTGAATTGGAGGTTCCATAACCAAGCTGGCCTTCCTTGTTGCATCCCCATGTAAAAACTTCACCGGATTCAGCAACAGCTGCCGTGTGCTTGTTTGCAGCAGCGACCGCAACTATTCTTACCCTAAGGCAACTCACTCGTCTTGGTGTCGGTTGGGTATCAACTGAAGTGTACCCTAGCTGTCCCTCTGCGAAAAATTAAATAAAAGACTAAATATATCTTCACAAAAACAAACGAAGCAAAGAGTTGGACTATGGACAACTGCTTCTGGCTGATGATTTAGGTCATTCTAATGCAGATCTACAATATGATGAAAAATAACGGTAAACAATGAATCTGCTACACTTCCATAATAATATAATATAGAAATTTTATATTGGATGCAATAATTAACTAATACAACGATTATGCAAATACTTAAAACGATTGAAAAAGAATAAAAATAATCCAATTCCCAAACTAAGAACCGGATCTTATAAGAGGGATCAATTAGCAATTAGAAATTGAAGATCATCAAAGCAGCATAGTTGATTCAAATTTTGTGCATAGATAACACTGAGTAAAACCGAGAGAGAAAAAAAGAAAACAACAACAACAACAACAAGCCTTCATCCCACTACAAGGGGTCAGATACATGAATTGTTTTTCTCTATTGTGTCCTATTAAGAGTTAAATTCTCATTTAAATATAACTAAAAAAAAAGTCATTTCTAATATTTTCTAACTGAATCTTTTTAGGTCTACCTCTACGTCTCTTAATATAGGTCAAATCTAAGACATCTACTCTCCTAACTGGGTCATGAAAAAGCCTATATTTTATGTGACCAAACCATCTAAGGTGGTGATGGACCGGTTCACCCGGTCCGGCCTGGACCCGTGCGGGTCTACAGGCGGAAGAGAGGGGGGCGGGCGGACCGGCTGGACCAAAGGGAACCACCCACTTAAGTGGGGGTAATTTGGGGATGGGAGGAATTTTGTGATGGTATGAAGAGGGCCATTAGGGTTTAGTTTTGGGGATTATGAAAAGTGAAGTCTCTTTCTAGTTTTCTTCTCCTAGTCTTCTTCTTGTTCTTTTCTAGGGTTTTCTTGTGGGAGATATTGTCCTTCTCGAAGTGGACAAACTTATCTTGTTTTCTCTTGGCTTTCTAATGCAAAGGTTCTTGTCTTTCATCCCAACTCTCTTGTGATTGTTTCTCTTGATTTTTGGTGGAGAAATTCTTCTCTTTTGGGGGAAATTAGGGCAAAACCGAAATTGTGAAACCCTAGGGCGTATCAGGTGGTTGTCTCTAATCTTATCTATCATTGGAGCTACTCTAACCTTTTCACATATATGCTCGTTTCATATTCTATCTCTAAGAGTAAAGCCACTAATCCACCTGAGCATCGTCGTCTCTACAAAACATAACTTAATTGTATACCTCTCTTTTAATGCCAAACATTATTTGCCATAAAACATTGCAAGTCTCATCTTTATAAAATTTTCTCTTAAGTTTGAGGGATACTTTTCTATCACATAATAGGCCCCATGCAATCCTCCACTTCAAAAATCTAACTTGAATTCTACAATAACATTGCCATTTATTTCACCATAACTCTAGATAACATACCCAAAATATCTAAAATGTATACCTTTATTAAACTTAATCGTCCAAAGTCACAATTCCCCCACTAGATCTATTACTACTAAAATTACACTCTATGTATTTGGTTTTAGATCTACTCAAATGAAAACATTTAAACTCTAAGGTTGGCCTCCATAATTCCAGTTTCCCTTCAACTCCCTCTCCAGTCTTCTCAATAAGAAGAATATCATCAACAAAAAGCATACACCAGGGTACATTCTCTTGCAAATGTCTAGTAAAAACATCAAAGACTAAAACAAAAAGATATGGACTTAAAGCTGATCCATGATGTAATCCAATTGAAATAGGAAAATACTTGGTCAAACCAACTTGTGTTTGAACACAAGTAACAACACTTGCATACACATCCTTAAGGACTTTAGTACAAACATTATTAACCCTTTTATTTTCTAAAACTCATCATAGTACTTTTCTTGGAACTTTATCAAGCTTTCTCTAAATCAATAAATATCATATGTAGATCCACCTAATTCTCTCAATACTTCTCCATCAAACTTCTCTATAAATGTATAGCTTCCACTGTTCCACAGTAGACCTACCCGACATGAATCCAAATTGATTTTGAGAAACATTAGTATCACGTCGTAACCTATGCTTAATAACTCTCTCCCATAGTTTTAAAGTGTGACCCATTAATTTAATTCCTCTTTTTTTTTTTTTTTTGATTTAATTCCTCATTAACTCACACTATTGTGTATCACCTTTATTCTTAAAAATAGGAACCAAACATTCATTCTCCATTCATTTGACATCTTTTTAATCTTTAAAATAATATTGAAAAGTTTTGTAAGCCAAGAAATTCCTTTGTCTCCTAAGCATTTCCACACCTATATTGGTGGGGTGTCAAAAAAGGATTTTCAGGTCAGTTAGGGTCCAACCCAAAATTGACCCGACTTCAATCAACCCGACCCGAATAAGCAAACGGGTCAGAAATCTAAACCAGGACCTGACCCGCCCCTAACCCGGGTTGACCTGGCCTTCTAACCAACAAGTAACCAGGCACGAGCGGTGCGAGCATGAGCACCAAGCTCAAAGCGTTGTGTGTGGGCAAAGGGGGGAGAGTGGGCAAGCCTCCAAGTGAGGGGTCGAGCGCGTACGAGTGAGGTGGCGAGCGCGTGTGGTGCTGGCGAGCGAGCGAGGGTGCGAGACTGCTGCAGGCGTGAGCACGGGATTGCTTTGGGTGAGGGGTTGACCAAGGTTGATTTCGGGTCAAAAACGTGTTAATTTCGGGTTTTCGGGTTGACCCGAAAACGACACTGAATTTTTCGGGTTGGGTTCCGGGTCGATTTCATATCAGGTCAAATATTGACACCCCTATCTATTGGAATATCATCAGGTCTAACAACTTTTCTACACTTTATTTTCTTTAAAATCTCTCTAACTTCGGTTTTCTTTAAAATCTCTCTAACTTCGATTTTCTTTAAAATCTCTCTAACTTTGGTTTTACTAATACGCCGATAAAAACAAAATATCTCTATTTTCATTTATGGTACTAAGGTCACAAAAGTCAATCGTTTTCTCACAATATTTATCCATAAGTTGCCAAGTCACATACCAACATTAAATAAAATACAAAAAAAAGAACAAATTGTACGTGTAGCACTAGTAAACATTGGCCTAAATATAACATGAATAGTTGGACGCACATGATACAAGTTATAACATAAGTTAGCATGTCATGGCTACACAAAATATAGGCGCACAGCTGCATCACATAATTTGGCATATATGGTATACCTCGATTAGATCCCCAAGTAAAAACTTCCCCACTCTCTGTTGCAATAACTGTATGATGTTTTGCTGCAGCAACAGCATGAACTCGGCGAGACCCCAACCCTGATGTCACCAAGCGTGGAGTGATAACAGCAGCTTGACCACTGGAGACAAACACAAGTTAGGCAAATAGACTTCAAGTAGACATCTAAAAGATCAAATTTAAGAAAATGCAGAGGAAGTTGATCAAAGAAAATCAAATGTACTGCCAACTCATCGCTTCTTTGTAAAATTGAAATAATACACCATATCCTAATGCATACTAGAAATTGTGCTGATCATTGTGGCAATGGAATCATTTTATACACCATAAATACATAACAACTACCACGCCTAATATTAATAATCAAACTATCCACACATTCTGACCATAAGTTCTATCGTCAGAACGTGTAGATAGTTTGGTTATTAATATTAGGCTGTTAACCCTCATGTTCTGGGTAGTGTCTTATCTACAAACCCATCTGCCTTCCAAAATTTACCTCGGAACTTAGTTCGTTAAAACTCCCTCGCCGAATAAGAAAAGCGAGCGGAGGCCGGGGCCGAATTTTCGGAGCCCACATAGGCGTGGTAGTTGTTATGTATTTATGGTGTTTAAAATCAATATCACAACTATTTTCCTTTTAATAAGGAATCTCCAAATGTGTCATCTTATATACTTAACTATGGTTTAAGATTTAGATCGATAAAACTGATTAGCCATAATAGGATTAAATTGATAAGCATCTTCTAAAAAAAAATAGATGCCCTTTTGGAAGTCAATGGCAATACCAAATTAACCTCTTGTCCAGTAATAATGGCTAGTCAACTACATTTAAATCATTTTACCATAGAAAACTATCCCATCAACCAGAGATTCTACAATAGGAGAATAGCACATGATGAAGAAGATCATCTAAGGCTTTCATTACCAAAAAATAATCCTAAAAAATCTGATGTATATTTAAATGATCTTTAAAGAAGAAAAGCATTTCTGAGAAGAAACCTTAAATGCTTTACAGTCATATAAACATAAAAAAGGTTTAACTCATATTATTGATATTAATAGGTTATCATAAGTGGATTATAGGTGCAGCACATTAATGATAGGATTCTATGGTGACCATCATTCTCAATGGTTTCAAATGTTCCATCCCCTTCAGCATCTTCTTTGAGAAAACAAAGACAAAAAAGGTAAAGCTTCCGTCCCTAAAACTGTTTCATAAGCATAAAATACATGTTAAGAATTCGAAAGCGGTGATATGAACAAAACCATACGGGATCCCCTTGTTTTTGGATAGTATTATCTATTATAATATTTCTTGACCATTGATTCTCTTCCCTAGGCTAAATGAGGTAAATGCAATCTCAGATAAATGAAGGTTTACCAAAGGTTTCTTAGAGACTGGTTAATTTGATTTCATTTAGAAATAAGTAAGAATCGCAAGTAGTCCATTCAATCATCTGTAAACGAAGATCACAGACAAATAAAACACATCGTATTATATGTTGCGACAGATGATGGAATTTCAGAAATTTGATGAAAAAAGAATTCTGGATGAACAAGAAACATCATAAATAACACCAATCATTGAAAAACTGAAAATCTATGGGTAAACATCTGGTATTCGTGAAAAATCAGTAACCTGTGAACATCAAAGTCAGGGTGCCCAAGCCTGCCACCCCTGCCAAATCCCCAAGTATAAAGCTCCCCATTGGAAGCAACAGCAATACTATGAAACTTTGAAGCAGAAATTATCTTAATATAAGAATCATGAAGCGCATCAACTTTTCCCGGCAATTTCTGGATGTGAGCATTGCCAGTTCCAAGCTGATAATTTGTCCCACTTCCCCAGCTATAGACTTCAGTTGCAACTGCAAGGACAAGAAAACAATCAGAGTCTCGTAGGAAATTTACTGAAGCAATTTCACAACTAAGGAGAAAATATTAAAGCCAACAAAAGAAGAAAAGTAATGACCTAAGGGGATGAAAGACATTTGCAATTAAAGCACAAATCATATTCCAATATGTAAATATCACATGCTCATCAAGTAGGTAAAAACATGAGATTAATCATATGCAATAAAGAACTTCACTAGTTAAGCGATAACTCGGATATGGTATGCACAAACAAATTGTGAAATTAAAAAAGAAAATTGCAGGATGAACAACCTGAGTCAAGATTATTGCCAACAACTTGAGAAACAGGCCCAGAGAGAAGGTCAACTGGGGTACGACATTTAGAGTCCTCCACTGTGAGGGATGCACCAGCCTGCATAAGAACACTTGCAACCGCAAGATGGCCAAAATGGAGTGCCCTATGTAAACTGCTCCATCCTGACTCTCCATCCTGAAAATACAAAAGTCAGAGCTTAGAACATATAACCTATCCAACAATTTAATAATACAAAGACATCTCATAACAGGACAATGCAAATCTGATTATAGCAAGTTGCACAAGCAATGAAAGCTATATCTAGTTTTGGTAGCGATGTTTCATTCTTATTTTATTGAAAAGGGTTGGAAAAGGTAGAAGCATTCTCCAAACTCTATGGATGGAATTGCATGCGATAAACTTGTACTACTAATCTATTTCGAGAAAATGTTCAATATGACAACAAGTTTCTGTGTGGGAAGCATCCACCAACTTTTTACAAATGATTCATCTGAAAGAAACTAGCTTCCAACATCTTAGCTGCGATGCTTCCTTGTTACTAAAAATAAAAATAATACTTATATGGCCTAAGTTGTGATAATGAGATAACATTTTCATTTTGAATGGATTATAAGCATTATTCTGTATAAAATGTTTAAGGTACATATCAGTTGACCAGTCATTGACAAAATTTTAGACAGAGGAGGTAGCTTCAAGGGAAAATTTTAATTTATTAAATTGAAAGAGCCTGTGCAGAGTCCAACATGATTCGGTTCTATTGAATATTCAAACTGTACATGACAGGATGAAAGAAGAGGGGGCCCGAGCAAGCACTTCTTGTTCCATTATAAAGTGTAGCAACCACTCTGACAACCGCTGCTTAAAGAAGAAGAGATTAGTATGTCAAATTACCTACTTTTCTCAATCTCCATGGAAGTTATGCCAATGAATAACTTCACAAATCTAGATATCTGATTTTTAATTCACATATCTCACAAGAGACTCAGCAAAGATAATAATATGGTTCTAAACAAGTAAAAGAAGGCCGCATGCATGCAAAAAGAGAAGCTAATCTGTATGATGATCTATTACTGTAGCAAAGAATTCTTGTAATCTTTTAAAAATATCACACAGTTTCAATCATAATAACATGATATGCTACCGAGATAAAATCCAAACAAGAAAGGTGAGAAAGATACAAGAGGCATTACTAAATCGATGTCATAGATAACAGACCCTTGCATCAGGATCAGCTCCTGCAGCCAGTAACCTCTTCACTATGGGTAAATGATTTCTCCAAATGGCAATGTGAAGAGGAGTAACTCCAGATGCATTCCGCGAATCCACATTTCCACCATTTCTCTTTAGTGCTAGCAGAGCTGAATCCAACTCAGTCACAGAACCATCCCTTGATGCTGACCACAAATCTTTGGGAGAAATGCTTGAAGAACACCTACGAAAAGGGGCGTATTTGAAGTGGCTTGAAGGTGACTCCAAATTGTCCATTAGGACACAAACTGCAGCAATATTTTTCTACTAACACAACTTTTCTAGCTGAAAAATCTCAGGTTTGAGCAATACTTTGTTCACATGTAGACATTTCTCCTTAGCTCAAAATAGCTATACTTGATGACCATTCCATCGTGTGTCATCCATTGCAACATGAATTTATTACTTTTCTCAGCTTAGGTCTAACCCTGCCAGTAATATCAAGAGCCAGACCTCCACATAATTAAACAATTTGACTAAAAAAGTTACACTAAGGTTAGAACAATCCGATTACACGATTCCTGAAAGATTAACAGCCATCATCATAGGCAATAACTCTTAGTAAAGCACTTTCATTCTCATGCTCAAAGAAAACCCTAGGATTCCATCATAAATCTATTTTAGTATGCCAAAGGCATACTCATAGCATGTATATGATGCGCACAAAAAGACTACAAAAGGAACTTCTTTGCAGATGACTCCTGCAAGCAAAAAAAACCACTATAATTAATTTAACCTCAATAAAGGATTCAAGAAAAATATATTACAAAGTTGAAATTTAAAATATATATATTCAACACTTCGCCATATTACATTGTAAAGAATGATAGAAAAACTTGAACAAGGAGGAGAAAAGGGTAAGGGGAAGAATTTTTTTTGCTAAAATATATGATAAATTTTGAGATCAATCAAATGAAGGATTATATATCATACCCAAATAATTATTTTCGTACATCAGATCATACCATCAAATAATGGTAAATATAAGCGTTAAATTATCTAAAGAAGAACAATGGCATATTCATCAACTCTTGGCTTCTCCAGCAATTATCTTCTGTCAATGCAAAAGGATAAGGCCTCACTGAAAATCCAATGCAGCCCAGCAATTCAATTTAAACTGCCACAAAATTCCTTTTTTCTCTAGTAAAGAAGTTCTAATTTCGAAGTAATTTACAAATCTAAAATAACGAGTTCATGTTGCAGTTACAAAAAATTACACCTTCTAGGGCATTTCTTATGAACTAGACTGAAACATAACCATCTAAACATATGATCTTTTTGAAAAGTTTTTTTCGTTGAATGCTTTCATATAAAATATTACAATCCCTTCCAATCGCAGGGCATACAATATATCATTTAAAAAATATGCATAGATTTGAGTGAAATTGCTCAAAAAATTCAAAATGGACTCGATTCAGCCAGCAGCACCTAAAGCAAAGGACCCAGTTCCTACAACTAGAGTGGCAAAAAAAGAAAAAAAAAACATTAAAAATATTAAATTGGTGATCAAAATAACACTGATCAAATCCATAAATCCAGCAAGTAGAACCTAGCAAATTACCACATAGCAATCAGAGGAAATAAAACGCAGCAGTGCACACTAATAGCAGCCCGATTCAATGTTGCTAAGCCCGGCTGAAGTTCATAAAATGCCCAGACAAACTCCTCAACATGAACGCAAAAGAAACTCATCTAAGAAGAAACATAATCCTCGCCATCTTACAACAACAAAAACAAAGACTTTTGACCAGAAACAGATCAAACACCAACAAAAGGAGAATAAAAAATCGGCGTCAAACAGAAAAAAAAAAAAGAAAAAAAAAAAAAAGAATTGCTACTCACGGTATCGCCGCCTAATCAGATCATATCTCAAGGAGAAAACTTGGCAAATTAAACCTAGATTTGCCAGGATGAGATTACATGTTACGATGAACTAAAAGAAATCCCATCAGAAGAAAATAAATGTAGCTGAAAAACGTAAGCGTATGAGAACTAACCCGGGATCTTCGGGGAAAGAGAAAGGGCGCATTGTTTCTTCCCTCTTTTTGTATTTCTATTTCATTAACTCTTTACCGAAGAAGAAGAAGAAGAAGATGAGAATCCACGCACAGCATATTCCCTCGCCCAAGGCCGAGCAGTCACAAAAGGAAGAAGCCCCACGCGCGCCCTCCCTCTCTCTGGCACTAGCTGCCGCTTGGCATAGATTTCCATTCCTATCCTCAGAAGTATTCTCTCAGGTTCCGTCTGTAGAGGGTATTTTCGGGATAGAGCATGCGCTGGCTGCAGCGCCTACACTGCATCCGTCGAACTACTGCATTCCAAATGGGGGATAGTATTAAAAAATAAGTAAATAACTAAAAAATATTTATTTTAATATTTTCTACCTAACATCATAATAAAAAAAGATTTGAATAATATTTAAGTAATATCCAAATAAGATTTTAACAATGTTCAGTTCAAATATCAAATGTGATTTGAGTAAGGTTCAATAAATATTAAAATCATGTTCGAATAAAGTTTGGGCAAAATTCAATCATAACTCGAACGAGGTTCAACTAATTTCTAAATAAGATTCGAATAAGATTTGATCATAAGTGAAAAAAGATTCAAACAAAGTTCAAGCAATGCTTGAATAAGATTAGAGCGATGTTTAAACATTGATTGAAAATTCATAATTGTTTAAACATGAGTTGAATTGAACTATTTTACGCTCATTTCCTCTTTTGAGAACCGACTCATTTGACTGGTTTATCATGCATGCAAATGTATATTTTAATCTTACTCATACATAGACATTATACTACATAAAATAACATAAAGAGTCAAGGGTGTGATGGAAAAATTGTTAGGCAATATGAGGTTAATAGCCTTGTCATGTTCAACATTGGAGGCGATAACATGATATTTTATACAATTAATGGTAATTTAGTTATATTTTGAAACTGCAAATTTTACTCGGTAGAAATTTTAGTTGCCTGTCATTAGAGAAAATTGCTCAGTTCCAATATGAGTTCAATTATATTTTAATTGCTATAATGTGATTAAATCAGTGTTTATTAGAATAAATTGTGTGCTTTATTGGTTGAATTGAGAAGTTCTGAATAGTTATTGTAAAAGAGGCAAGATATTCTGGTGCCTATACAACATATTTTTGTGCCTTAAAAATCATGTTATGATGGGTGGAAAATGTTATGTTTTGGTGCTTATAAGCACATTTTGGTACTATAAGCACAAAGAGAATCATAAGGGATTAGAATCTTTTAAGATTTTGTGTGAGACCGAAGACATTTGTTATATTATGTTTTGTGAAATGAATTTTAGTTTATTTATTGCTTATATTACTGGAATCTTTAAATAATTGTTATGCTCTTTTTTACTTTGCTCAATACACTGATTTATTATATTGCATTTAAATATTATAAAAAAATATTTAATAAAAGAAATATTTGAAATTTTAGATTGATGTTTGTGGCCTACTAAGTTGTTTTAGCTCATTATGATTTGCATTCTATTTTTAGGTAAGGATCTAGTTGAGTAGCTCTTCAGGATCCAATCTTAGTCTATATGTACTTCTTTTGTTGATTTTTTCACATTCATGAATAGTTTTATTATACATTTTAGCTTTTATTTATAGCTTTCGTGATTGTGTATATATGTTTTGATGATGAAATGAATGTGATTTTGGGGATGAGTTTATTTTAATACTATGGATTAGGGATGTCAATTTTTGACACGACCCGAACCCGACTTGAAAAAATCCGGGTTCGGGTTGAACAAATCAACCCGTTTTAAAAATCGGGTCGGGTTCGGGTTGACCCAGCAACCCGAAATTGACCCGAAGTTGACCCGAAAGTGATCCGAGAGTGTCACGAAAACTCATATTTGACCCGAAAACCCGAGATTGACTCGATTTTGACCCGAAAATTAGAAACCTTAGGTCAACTTCGGGTCATTCGTGTCGGGTCGGGTTGACCCGGACCCAAATCAGGTCGGGTTAAGGTCCAGAAACCTGAACCGTTTTTAAAAACGGGTCGGGTTCGGATTGACCCGAATAATGCCGGGTCAGTTTCGGGTTCGACCCGAACCCGACCCGCTGACCCGAATTGACACCCCTACTCTGGATATTTTAATAGCCTTATAGTCTGTTGTTATTTATTTTAAAATGAATATTGGAAGATATTTTCAAAACTATATATTGTTTCTAAAAAAATAGATATTTAAATTCACGTGTCACAAGTCAAAATGATAGGATCTGTGCATCACTGGGCCTTATCGGGTTGGGTTTTCACATTAAATAGCTAGTCTATTCACTTTTCTATTTGTAACTTGTGTTAGTTTATAGTGAGTATTATCCTTTAAGAAATTCAGTTCGAATATGACTCTAAATTTAATTTTTTAATGGCCGTGTTAAACATCAGAGGGGCATAACTACATTACCTTATGAAATTTAAATATAATAGCACATAATTCAATAATTTTGTGAACTTCTCAATTACATATTTGTACTATATCTTATGTAAAGCACTATTTATAATATAAATATTATGTTATCTCTTGAATTGCTCTATATTGTATTATGATTGTTCATTATATCATTTTATTACTACAATTATTTAAATTAGAACCTTCTTCGATCTTCAATAGCAAATGAGTTGTCATTTATGTCATAATTTTGTATTAATGCATATGTTTTTTTTCTAATTTTCCAAATGCTAGAATCAAAATAAATTTCTCAATTTTGACATTTTCCATAGAGAAAGAAGAAGGAAATGACAAAATAGCAGAAGGAACACAAATCCTTCAAGTAATTCCTTGCGGAAAATTCCAAAAGGAACTCTTTATCTTCATTCATTCTTCAAATTTGTATTTATGTGAATAGATCCCTATCATTTCTTCATTTATCAAGTGTTTTAAAAGAATTTTGTTCTATTAAAAGCTGTAATTTGGCATTTGGTTAGAATTTTGTACGTTGAGGTAGTCTTAATCTTAAGACTGGGCCCATAACATCCAAACAATATATAAAGCGGTGAGAAGAGCTGGCCAAGCAATAATAATAAATACAGTCGCATATAGCTAACAAATAGCAATAAAGTGGTAACTGGCAGTTCAAACCACCATCCAAAAGCATTAATTAATATTAACTAAGCAGTTCGCTCTTATTTTCTTTGTGCCATTAGATGTAGTTTATCCATATTTTTGTTTCTTCATTTGGGGGACAAATTTTTTATTGCTTTATAAAATAAATTTTTAGTACAAAAATTAAATTCTCTTTTTCGAAAAAACTGCTTTAAGAATCAATTTTTTTTTGGACGAGTAAACACTGTTCAAAGCCAGTTAAAACCTCGGTCGACCTAAGCAACCCGCACCAATTTACCCAAGCCAACGATTAAGACCGGAACTACCGTCAAGGGGATTTGAACCCAGCACCTGGGCTTTGCCCAGCTGGTTTTCCACCACATGGAAACAAAGTTTTTTTTTTATTTTTCGGACATTTAAGCCATTTAAGGCAAACTCAAACACACAACGCATACACATAGACTCGAATCTTAGACCTCTTAGTTGGAAGCCTAAGCTCTCAACTAATAGGCCAAGGAGAGTTGTGTCTCAAACAAAGTCTTAATAGAGATCTTAAAAGACAAAAAGCTGCAACTGCAGCGTATGAAACATGTGAACTAATATTCTTGGAACATATGAAATACTATTGTAGATTATTAATATGTACGCCTACTAGCTTATGTTATAACTAAAATAACAGTGCTTCTTATGTGACAGCTTTTTTAATACTTTTTTATTTATTTCTAAAACAACTTTTAATATAAAAATTTCTAATTGATAATATTTTTGTGCCAAGCCCCTCCTATGGAGTAATTATTACGTCTGGTCAAATCGAAACGTATCTGAATGTATACCGAGCAATACCAAGTGCTCAATACCGAATTTCAAGTAACGTGACGCGTAGTTATTAGTCTATGAACGCGTTCAGTGATCGGACGTAATAATTGCTCCCTCCTATGGGGGTGATAGTGAATATATACTCCTATTAAATAATAATAATAATAATATTTTGTACTAAAAAAATTACTTCAAAAAATAATAAGAAAATTATTCCAAATAAAATATTAGGCTTGGTGGACAACTTTCTTTTTTGCTTCTTAAAGCAACTTCCTAGTACTAGAAAGCTGTTTTAAAAAGCAATAAAAAAACCGTCCCAAACGAAACTTTAATCTAAACAATTAGATTTAAGTTGAAATTCTGAAAATAGTGTTGATTGAATAAAAACATTATCACACTTGACCGGTTGAATAAAAGCATCCTCAATCATGCAACTAAAAATAAAATGAGTAGCCATATCTCATCAGCAGGGATTCCTCATAGGCATCAAACTCTTCTAGCAAGCTGGAAGAAAATTAAGAGCTCTAAATTTCCGCTAATCCATGGAAAAATAAAAGAGACGTAGCTTTAGCACTGTAAAATGACTATGCTACGGCAATCAATATTAAATAAGTTGAAAGACCAGTATCTTATTCATTAAGATGAGATTATTTCTTCAAAATAATAAATTTGAAGAACATATTTTAAAATTGATCACTCACAAATCTAAATAATAAAAATAATAATAATATCATTAAAAGTTAAAAGAATATATAGTCACATCATGAATTCCACTAAAAAAAATAATAGGTTCAGATTTGATGAGTGCTACTGTGATCCAAATAGAGAAAAAAAAAATAAAGAAAACTAAAATTTAATTAATTTCCTAAAAATCATGATATGATGCAACAACAAAAATACACCCACAAAGAATTACTCACAAAGAACCCATTAGAACTGAAGCAAACAGAGGCAAAAAGACCAGCAAAATAATGTAGCATAAAATGCTGGGAACAAATTTCATCTTCATGAACAAGGGTGGTCATACTCAAATGACTTCATCACAGTGCTAAATCAAAGATTTCCATGAAGCAAAGATTTTTAGTCACACAGCAACAACTGGTTCCTGCTGAACAAATTTATCAAGAAATTTAGAGTATGTGAGCAATCAAATGAAATCACCATTTTTAGCAAAGCAAATTACTGGGCAGGTCACTTTCATCAAAAGATATTACAAGATATCCATGAATAAAATCAAATCAAAGCATTTGTCGTCTTCAGCATTGCATAATATTCGATGCACAACAAAGTTGACGCATGCATATCAAACAATTCTTAAAAAGCAACTCTCAACTTAACACAACCTTGAATTCTTTCGTTCTCTCTCTTTTTGAAATTTTGATTCCGCCACTCCTAAAACATAATATCACTGTATAACCTACTCATGTTCTGATCAAGTTTTTACTAAAAAATAAGGTTGGGTCAAATCAATTCAATTAAATTGAGTTAGTTTAATTATATAGGCTGATAAATTTGGGACCACGATGTAGGCTTAAAACTGAAATACAACAAAAACAACAACCACATCAATCTTTTATCCTACTATGTGGGAACAATTATATGAATCCTTTTCTCTATTGTGCTTTGTTGAGAGTCAAACTCTTATTTAAATCTAATAAAAAAAATCATTTCTAATATTTTATAACCAAGTCTTTTTAGATCAATCTCTTCATTTCTTAAAAAAAGCTAAATATAATACATCTACACTTCTAACTGGGTCATCGAAAGGCCACCATTTCATGTGACCAAGTCATCTAAGGCGACTCTCTCTAATATTATCTTCCACTGGAACTACTCCAACCTTTCCATGTATATGCTCGTTTCGTATCCTAGCTCTAAGAATAAAGTCACTTATCCACCTAAGCATCATCATCTCTGCAAAACTTAACTTAATATTATGCTTCTCTTTTAATGGCCAATATTCTGCACCATAAAGCATTGCAGTTCTCACCACCATCTTATAGAATTTTTCCTTAAGTTTGAGGGGGACTTTCCTATCACACAATAAGCCCGATGCATTCCTCCACTTCAACCATCCAACTTGAATTCTACTAATAATATCCCCATCAATTTCACCATCACTCTGAAGTCTGAACAATAGACTCAAGATATCTAAAATGTATACTCTTATTAATGACTTGATCGTCCGAAGTCGCAATCCCCCCACTAGATTAATTACTACTAAAATTACACTCCATATAGTCGGCTTAAAACTGAAATGACTGAGTAAAATCTTCAATTGGGGACAATTTTCACCAAGTTTTCTTAACCCTCAAACTATTATTGGTAGGGCCGTACTCTTTACAATCATGTTGCAATCATGTTGGGCAATCATATAAAAAGAATCAATGTCAAAAAAATTTAATAAAAAACGATAAGCATTGTAAGGTGGCTGTAATACAAGTCTAGCATGTGAAACATGGAGTTAATATACTAAAATTTAGTATATGTGCAATTAGATATTTTACTGAAAAAGGACTAAAGTCCATGGCCTATGATCTTTAAATTCTTAGTTGGTAATGACAAACACCATAATTTTGAAATGTTAATCCCCTATCACTTTCCGTTCTAAAGTACGAAACATAATATTCATAATTGAGCAAATGTAATTTGCAATATATCATAACCAAAAATCATAAGTTTTTTTTAGAAAGACTCACCTTTGCGGTCAAGTTTGACACTGCAAATTGAAACTTCTCTTTAGTTTTGGAACTAGCAACATGACCAACCCTTGCCACCTTACCAAATGCACCATTCAACCAACTTGTTCCAGCTATCACATACCTGCCAATGCAGTTAACAAATAAATTCAACAGCATGTCCTATTTGGGAAACTATAGTGGCGCGCTCAAAGTAATATTGTTCAGATAACAGCAGTACACTAGTAAGACATAGCTCTGCAGAATCTCCAATAGGATAAATACAAGAAGTTCATAAGATCACTGGTAGGATGCATTTTTTCTTCAACTTAGGGTTCATTTGGGGAAGCAATAACTTATTATAAAGGTAGTTGTGGGGATATTGTGAGGGAATTTTTTTTTAAAAAACTAGGTAGGTAGTATAAATATTTTTCCTTTAAAAAAATATGACAACAACTTTCTTAGAGCCACTGCTCTTATAAATCGGGTTGTAATTAAACAACTTCTCACCAAAAATATTTCTGCAGCAAGAAAGAAATATCAATATAGAAGTGCGGCAGCAAGTCCAAAAAGCAAAGCAATTAAAAAGCTGCCCCGACCAGACCCTTAAAAGCAACTATTGTGGTATATAAGAATTTAAAATATAAGTTAGATACCCTGCAAGGAGAAAAAAAAAATGCATAAAAAAGGCAGAATAATATTTTTAAAAACTTAAGAACCAGGAATACCAAAACCCTAATTCATTTCATACATGAATAATTCCAGGCATCTATAGCAAACCATAAAACTCAAAGTAAACCTAATCATTAAGTACAAAACATTTTGAAAAGTATCGTTATCTACATGTAAAATTAATAATAGATCGAAACAGCTTTTAATGGCCATGCCATAGGTTAAATTCAGAGAAGAATGCGTCACAGGTAGAAAAATAATTTTACTCTGCTAAAGCAGTTTTAAGAAAGAGGGCTAAAGAATCAAGAGAAGCACCTATTGGTTTTGACGGCTGTTCCAGTATCAGTCAACTTTTGTTCTGCTACAGTTATGACAGCCATAGTTTTATCAGACACGTGCAGCCTTTGATCCACGGATTTCACTTTTTCATTAACTGCTGATATTCCTAGTGTGAATTTCTCTGATAGGCCAACTCTTCTATCAAAAGAAATTACTCTGGCTGATGCATTAGCTGACAACTGGTGTTTCTCATCAAATGCTTTAGCTTTGTTTAAAGCATCTTGTCTAAATGCAGAGCCCTTTGCCAATATACCTGTCACCACATCATGAGCCTTGTCGACATACACATTTCGATTACCATAGTTACTTGTAGTCTGCAGTAATACACTATATCTTTAACGCAATCAACATAATAAGAGTATTAAGCAACAATCACAATAAAATGAGAGAACATTTTGCTGAAGTTTAGAGGCACCTCAATTGGTATGGAATTTTGAAGTGAACTTACTGGCTCTTCTATGACTATAACTTGCTGTATGGAATTATGAGTTAAACAATCTGAAATCAATTAGAAATAAGAAATTAGTGCAGATTCAAAAACTAGGATCATTTACCTCATGAATCTTGGGAACATAGTTGATTACGGATTTTATGGTCACCGTCTGGTCCACTATCGTAGCGCCCTATAAAACAGGCAAAAAGAACTTGTTAATAAACAAGAAGCCTTGCATATTGACTAAGCAGAAAGTAGGAATAAACAAAGTTCCCCATTCAAAATTATTACAGTCAGCTTGGAGCCAACTATTTAGGTTGAACTCAATGAATCCTTCAGCAGTAAATGTGCTCACAGTTTCAAAGGTTCACTCGGACAAGTATTCATACAGACAATGCCATGGCACATCGAAGCACAGCATCCTAGCCATTCTACCAGCACTAGCTGGCAAACACTGCAAAATTCTACCATCATCCTTACAATCCCATTGATCCATAGATCCTCATATTAAATTAGTTTTTCTACCTGAAGATGGCTTCTACCATCTGCTTTACAGTAGCTGGTATGCTGTTTTTGCTTTCTGCTTTGGTAAATGCAGCACACAAAGGCTGCTCCAATGTATTGGACAGCAAGCAGGATGCCTTTGCTTTTGTTTCTGTTCAGCTGTTCATAGCAAACAGTTTTGCTGTTTTAGCTCTTGCTGTAGAAGTTTTCTCTTACCTCTGTTTTAAGTTATCACTTAGCAGCAAGCCAAGTAGCTGAATTCCCTTCCAGATTGCAGTGCTGGCAATTAGATTCTCTATTTTTTTTACTGGACTAGAACAAAAACCAAAACAGCGCTGCTTGGAGTTTTAACGACAGCGAAAAAGCAAAAGCATTCTATTGTTTTCCCTTCTGTCCAGCTTTTGAATATTACATGGTTCAGCCCAGCGCTTAACGCCCCCCCTGGAAACAGCAGCAGTTTGAGGTGCTGGAGTTTTCAAATGAGATGCATGGAGTGGGCTACTTAAGAATCAAATGGTTTCAGGTGATTTCCAGCACAAGGCAAGAGCAGCTGGGGGACTTGGATGGTTGCAGCCATTGATGTGATGGGGTAGTTTGGCGGGAGGAGAGGGAAGAGAAGGAAGAGGAAGGATTTGGTAGTCATTAATAATTATTGCAGAAAAAACTAAGTAGGCAATTACAACGGGGCATAACATAGAACCAATTTCTAAAAAACCCTACAAAAGAGGGAACCTTATTGACAAATAACAACCTTATCCAAACAAGTTTAAGAATTTGAAATCGATGCCATCCTATAGTAATTTTAAATAATATCCAGCAATCCAACTTTTGGAGCTTTGACCTCTCTCAAACGATATCCGACTAACGATTCATCACACCTATATATTTTAGGTGAAATCCACTTCAATCTCAACTGTATGATCTATCCATACAGTCAACAATTTTCTTCGAGAGTTTCGACCGTTAAAAGCTCAACACACATCTCTTTAATCATTCCACGATCTAATATACAAATTACAATCACATGCAACTTGATTGATCCCCTATTAGATTTGATCCACTCACCAAAAAAATTCTCATGGTCATGATCAACTAGATTACGCCTTGTTCTTTTTTAACTTTTCACTATCATCAACTCATCATAATTAGCAATATCCCAAATATTTGGGCTAGCCTCAATGCTACAAATGGAGATGACATCATAAAAAAACAGCCAGATTCCATCAGGTTTAGCACTGTTATCCATTTCAACACTGGGCCAAACCAATGCTGAAAAGTCAAAGAAATTGCTATCAGCTCATGACATATTCATTTTAAATAGGATTTCACGCTTTTTGTCGCTACATTATAGCTTATTCATTATTTGACAGAAAAATCATAAAAAAATATATTTTAAAATCACAGTTGTACTCTACATTTACTGCAACTGTACAAATAAGGGGTTAAAGCACAAGGTTTTGTTAATCACATAACACAAAACAATAGGCGAATGCAGTTCATAGCCAGCAGAACAGTATTAATATATTATGACACGGAGGAACTTGAATAAAAATACATAAATACTTAGGGTTAATGGCTTCCGTGTTTCAAAAATCAATAATCACATGGACCGTGGAGCAAATTCCTAATAGTTTCCAAACAAAAGATTTCACATACTTCAGACAGAACTTTCGTCATAAAAGAGTAGGTAACACAACATAAAGGAATAGATAGATCTTACGAAAACATGAATAATACAGATGAAAAACGGCTACAAATACAATGCAATAAATGGAGAGCAATTTAAGAACCATTCATGCTCCTGCACAACACAACTAATCAAGATAAAAAAAAGAGAGGAGAGTATGTACCGACAACAGAACTGCTATCTCGGCTGATTTCGATTCCTTAAACGTAACGAACGCAGTCCTAGAAACTCCAACACCATTCCTTCAAACATGAAACAACACCAAACATTAGCGTATTTAACGAAAATAAAAAAAGCCACTCCATACCGATGTAGAACAGAAACAAAAGAACACGAAAGCAATCAAAAGAAATCAAAAGCGAGCGCCGATTAAAGAATCCAACCACCGGATCTCGACGTCCTCGATGTCGCCGGAAAAGGAAAAGAACTCCCGGATCTCCCTCTCTCCCGCAAGATCCGAGACGTTGCCCACTTGGACCGTCCGCGTCTGCCGGAATGAGCAAATTGTGAAGAAAATACCAAAGAAGTATGGAACCAAGTCAAGATATAACTAGGTGACAAACAAATTTCACAAGGTTTCGAGAGCCACCGCCTCACCAGCATTGTTCTCTGAATCTTATCTTCTCTGTTTCTTCTCCGAATCCTCTTCCTCTGTTTCTCGCCGCCCTTCACTTCCGTCTTTTTTTCTCTGTCTCTCTCCTCTCCGTCTCATCCGCGGTTCAAACTCCTTGGAGCCTTTAAGAAGGAAACGAGTTTAGCCAACATCGGGTCGAAACTACCCTTGAAGGTAGTTAATATTGATCGTTGGTTAGAAGGGTAAAACAGGGAAACGTTATCTTGTACAGTTCAGGTACTCGACCGCTGATTACCTGTATTGGGGCGGCTTTGGCATTATGCTGAGCCTCCGGAGCAGGTTAGGATATGAAAAATGAGAGCTCTAGTCCGTCCAATTATGATTTAACAGCTGTGATCGTTCCTGGATCGACCACGCGACCTCGTACGCAGACATTCCGGGTCTGACTGGGCACGCCAATTTGGACATTTGTTAAGGAGAATAATTTTAAGAAACTAATTCTGATTTGTTGGTTAAGAGTTTTGATTAAGATGTCCTAAGTTGATATATGTGTGAAATATCTCAAAAGAAAGGAGAATAATCTTTTTACTTTTATTTATTTAAGTTTTGTTTGAGATAAATGTCTAAGGCTTTGTTTGAGACGATTTTCTTGCAGCTTCTTAAAGCAGCTTTTTAATATAAAAAATAAATTTTTTATACTAAAAAGTTGTTTTAAGAAGCAATAAGACAGTCATCCCAAACGAAGCATTAATGTTATCTAAATAGTTTTTTAGTATAAATTTTTAATTCAAAAATTTTTGTGCTAAGAAGTTGTTTTTAAAAACAGTAAGAAAGTTATCCTAAACGAAACCTTAACATTTGTTTGGACAGCTTTCTTACTGTTTCGCTTTTTAAACTACAATCACAATTATTATTTAGGCACTATTTGTTTAAAACGTTTAAAAATTTTAAGCTAGATAGCTGCTTTCTACAACGGTTTCAAAGAAAATTATTTTCACTGCAACAACTTTATAATCACATTTACAAAATGCTATAGTCGTCCCAAACGAACTCTTATAGGACAACTCATAATTTAATTTTAAAGAAATAATGATCAAAATGATCTACTGATTTTTTTATGAAATATAAAATGATCTTCAACTATTTAAAAATCTCATTTTAATATCACTTTGGAACAACTTTCTTACTACTTTGTTTTCAAATCACGATCATAATTAGTTATCTGCTAATCTCTCGTTGCTTTGAAAAAATCTCTATACTAAGAAGCTATTTCTTATAACAACTTTAAAAAAATTTATTTTTCCTAGACAACTTTATAAATCGCCTTTAAGTAAAAAGTTAAAATTTTAAAATTATAATCATCCAAACCAAATCTTTTATATAGCGACCTAAATGATCATGCAAAAGTCAAGATAGGCTTCGTTTGTGAGAGCTTTCTTGCTGCTTCTTAAAGCAACTTTCTAATAAAAAATTTTAAATTTTGTACTAGAAATTTGCATTAAGAAGCAGTAAGAAAGCCATCATAAACGAAGCTTAACTTAATACTTAATATAGTTGATGACTAATTTGATAATTAAAAAAATTATAGTATAATTTTGACTTTTTTCTCAATCTTTTGATGACTAATGATGAATTAAGATTAACAGGAAATAAATCAAATAAAATATTATTACATAATCTCCAATCTCCAATCTCCATCATCAACAAGCTTACTTGATGATTATGACTTGTAACCTTATCATTAATGACTAATTAATCTGACTGTTAATCCACACAAAGGGGAATATAAAGTTGGGAACATACCCACCGCTGTTTGTCCGGGTGGTGAAGAGTCGGCTAGGCAAAGCCTAGATCCCTGGTTCGAATCCCTTGACAAGCAGTGAAAACCTTAAGTGTTGGCCCGTGTAAATTGGTGTGGATTGCATGCTAGATCGATCGGGATTTTCACTGGCCTAAGAACAGTGCTCCCTCGTCAAAAAAAAAAAAAAAAAAAAAAAAGAGGTTAAGGGAACATTCATTTTATATTTACAACCGTAATTTTTTAACATAGCTCGAAAATTTTTATGGCTTATTTTGTGACAGCTATTGGTGGCAGCAAAATAATATTGTAGGTTCAGTGGAGAACATGGGGCAAGTGGGTTCATTGAATAACAGGCATTAAATAGGAGAGAATTTAAGAATGGACAAATTATGTCGGCAAAAAATTAAATGGATATGGTATATTTTAAGCTTTATGATATTTATTGATGATTAAATAAATTTGTTATTTTTTTAATTAGTTTTGTTATGCAAAAATAAATTATTCGGTCAAATATGGATCTCGATGTAATTTTTAAATTAGATGCAAGATTATTCAAATTTTGATTTAAGCAAAGTTATGGTAGAACTAAAAGATTCGATGAGATAATCCAACGACAAAAAAAAAAGTAATATAATTATAGTCTAATAGGCTCAAATTAAACACTTGAAGTATAATTAAAAATTTTATGACATTAATTAGAAGATTAAACTATTTTAGAAAATGAGCATCTCAATGAAAGTAATTCAACAAGTGCATGATCACTCAATTATTGCCAGCAATTGTAGTCCCCTAACTCATGTTGCTTGATCACCATCGTACAATCTTTATTGTTTGACTATGATCTTACTAAAACTATTACCTAACCTATGTTATCCGAACATCATCATCTAATCTCTGTGCAACCCGTTATGATCTCTTTAACATTCTCGTCTGATTACAATTTTTTCAACATCTTCGCCCCAAGAACGCTATTCTTTCTTTGCTCACTACATGCCACAAAAATCCTATGGAAGTCAGCAAAAACTCCATTTCAAAAAATTATCATACAATCTCTAGTTCCTCAATGTTTCTAAGATTAATCTTAGATGAAGTACATATTCCTTATAAGACTGTAGGTACACCAAAATATCATCAATAAAAATAATAAAAAACTAATACATATATTCTTTCAACACCCTATACATTAGGCCACTAAATACATATGGTACATTCATCACATCAAATTCATACGGCCCATATTGAGTATTGAATGTTATAGTAATATTATTTCTCTATGCAATGTAAGTCAATATCATATACGAAATACACTATTATATGAAATGCATAAAATCTAAACATTATTCATTTACTTAAAAAAATGACAACTATCAATCCACCAAGTAAAATTCAATAATATTATGATCAATATTAGAAAAAAATATATTTTTTATCAATATGAGGAGATTAAATACATCAAACTCAAAACCATTGAAAATGCTCCAAACCCCTTTTCTCTCTCATCATCTCCTCTACATTTTTCTCTCATTCTTCTTTACCCGACAAGCTAAGAGAATTAGAGGGAGGGGGAAGGCTTAGTGTTAATATAATATATATGATATTTAGTGCCTAATGGCGAACGCTCCAATGACTTAAGCGTCATAATGCTGCATGTAAAACAACACCACACCATAGCACCAACTCAACGCCACTACGTCGAATTATTTTAGAAATTCTAGAGAGCTTAATGACACAATAACGCTTTCCCGGTGCTTCTCATCACCACTACACCCACAAGAACAACGCTGCAACGCCCTTGTTCAAATTTTTCAAATTTTTATCTAAAATTAATTTCACAATTTTCAAGGTATTACAAATAACATGTTCATGTTCAATTAGTTTAGTCATGTGTGGTCTATGTTAAGCTCAAATTTAGCAAGAATTTGTTTAAAAAATACTAAGCTTTAGCCTTTTTAAATAAAAAATTAATATTTATTTATAACAGACCCCAAATTGTATAGGTTCTCTTTCCATACTTGAAAATTATAATTATTATGCTACTTGTGCTCTATTCTTAGCCAAACAGAGACCAATTGCATAAAATGTCTCAATTATATATCTTCCAAGGGTCTGATTGAGACAACTAATAAAGTGCTAAACCATCTACGTTGCGGCCGCAGATTTTTAAATGCACGCATCTCAAAGCTTACAATTGGGTAGCTTAACAGCGCGGATCTGTGTCCAGAAAACGATGAAAACCGGGCACCTTGTACAGGAGAAATTAGCTGGATTGTCGCCAGCTTCTTTTCTATTTATTTATTTGCATTTGTTTGGTGACAAAAAAATAAAACTTGAGGTTCAGATGAACAAAAAGGCTCATAATTCCTATGAACCAAATGTAATAATATATCATGAGGTCAATAAATTTATGAGATTTATTTTAGATGAAATAGATAATCAATTGACTCCTACTCATGTAATGCATACATTAATAAATTTTAAAATTGTCTATTATTAGACTCATCTAAAAAATAAATAAATAAATTTAAAATTCATCCCCAAAAATTTTTGATCATAATAGCTTTCTCCATGCTTTCTAAAGCAGCTTTCTAGTACAAAAATTTCGAATTCAAAAAATTTTTATATTAAAAAGCTGATTTAATAAGCAATAAGGAAGTTGTCCCAAACAAAACCCAAATCAAATATCATAACTACAAGTGCAATCTAAGGTATTTTACATGAAATGTGGGAGAATAAAAAAGATTTCAAGGTACTCCCTCTGAAGGTGTTTGATTCCAACATTTATGTTTCCTCTCTCCATAGCAAGAAGGAATTCAGAATTTGTATAAAAGAATTTACAAACAGAATAATCTACAGATAAGAATAGCCTGACTCCTTGTTGATGATGGTGGAGAAGTAGCCGTTGAAATTAAGATTACTCCAGAAACGATAAAGGCTGAATTCACGGTGTTTTGGCGATTTGATATACAGAAGGTATAGTTCTTTGAGGTTCTTCTTAAAAGAAGTATTTACAGTGGATACCTGCATCATTAAACAGAAGGAAATGAGAAAATATAGATGGAGGAATGAACTGAGATCATCATAATCACCAGTCATATCGCAAATACTACTAAACTTATCATTTTTCAGTATACTAATCACCTGATTTCCAATAACAGATTCTCTAAAATCCTTTCGGTTTCTATGTAGCTTTCCAAGTTTCATAGCTAATCTTTTCTTACCAATCTAACTGATGACTACAAGCAGTTCATCCCAACATTACTTATTTCAGCTTTTAATAATTACGTAATTAACAAATGTCAACTCAGTTAAATAATCCAGTTGAGCAAATTTCTTGCAGCTTGTATATCTTTTTACTCGCCATTTACAAATATTAATATGGAACATCTTCACGAACACAGAAATTCTGATTGTTTAAGATGATAAATTTGTTTTCAAAAGTAATGGTTTAATTGTTAAACATTATGTGTGGGAAAACAAAATCATTACTGATACCTCATGCAAAAAATATCTTGATCGGGCACGAAGCTCGAGGCAAAAAGCTAGCCGGAAACTTCAAAAATTAAATCCGGGAGCACCTGAACTCCGATTTCAGCGAGCTTACAGTCAAACTGAGCGTCTCGGAAATACGAACCCAACGACACCAAGATCAACCCAATCCGAGCCCAAATGAGTCCGAATCAAGGGCTCAAAGCGCTGTTGGAAGGTTCAAACCGCAATTTGAGTTACCAAACGGTCTCCGATTTTGACGAGCTTATACTCGAATCGAACGGCTGGACGAGACGAATCCAACGAGCCCAAGATCATCAAATTTTGACATCAATAAGGCCTTCAAACGTCCAACGAACGGTGCTTGATCAAAGGATTCGATATCGGCCGTCCATTCAAACCACTCCCAATTCGCCCTTGATCTCACGCCTATTTACGGGCTATGCCACTCCAGAAAAACTATAAATAGAGCCCTCATTCACATCAAGCTAAGGCCTTCTCCCAAGGAAGGGTCTCATTTGTAATCGACTGCAAATACTAGTGGATTCGTTCAAACTGGGCTAGGCCCCGTGGTTTTTCCCCTTTTACAGGGGTTTTCCACGTAAAAATCTTGGTGTCTCATAAATGCTAGACCCTCTCTCCTTATCTGATTGCGTGCCGGATTTTCGTAATATGTTAAGACGTCAAATATGATATTTCTCTACCGCCGCGAATACTCCTGGACGCAACAGTTACAATCAAGGGTCTTATGGGATTCGAAATAGGATTAATACCTCTTGCAATACCCCTACAGAAAAACAAATGAAGAATGAGGATCCAGAAAGCCAGCCATAAGATGGTGTTTTCTATCAAGAAAACAAATCATATTTACATAAGCTCTGATGACAATGAGATATTCAAGAGTGAAAGCTCTCTTGCGCAGGTGAATTATCCCATACACTTAAAATATCTGGATTCCTTTTTTAGACAAGAATGAACTACCAGTCCACAGATATCACAAATACGAAGTATTCTAAGGGGCTCATTTGACTGATTGTAAATAGAAACCATGCTTTCAAAAAAAATGATTTTAATTTTTATTCTTTTTGAGTATGAAAATAAAATCAACATTTTTGAAGGAGCTTTGAGAAGATCTGTGCTGTTTGAAAGTAAAGTTGTCTGAATACGTCCAATCAAATCACGACTTAACAAACTTCATTGTTTTTCGAGAAAAGATTTCTAACTTCAATCAATCAACTGATCCCTTAGTGGAAAGATAGCAAATTTCAAGTACCAATCACTCAATATAAAAAGAAAAAGTCAACCTTGTGATCTACAGTGAAACGGAGGTGTTCGTTTGAAAGAAAAAAAAAAAAAAAAGAAAAGAAAATCATTAATCATTATTTAAGAATAATATGCTTCACACTATAATCAATCTTTCGGCCCATGCCAAGAAGTATGGCCACCCCTGAAGGATGATATCCAAAAAAGTAAAATGGACGGTCATTCACTACCAGATGATGAGTACAACAAGAAAAAGATGGATAAAGTATAAGATCACCTGAGTAAAATCTATCTGAGAACGCAAATATGATTCATCTTTTTCATGCAAATGATCAGAAAACCTATTGCCAGAGAAGCACAAGCGGAAGTCCAATGCACATTGCAAAATATTCTTGATAATTGTAGCTACTTCTTTGGCATCATCAGACAAAAAACATCTAAAAAGAAAAGAAGAGCAGCAATTAGAACGAAGGACCTAAGAACATTGCAAAATATGTAAAATTTCAGAAGAAATATTCTTAAAATTCCATAAAAGAAGGAAGTTATCGTTTATATTTCTTTTTATGAACAATAGAGTAAATAAGAGAAGAAGAAACAAGTAGACAAAAAAATAATTGAAAAATAATTACTAATGGTATCCATAATATATTTCCCTTTGTAGTTAAGCTGGTCGACAAGAGCTTTAATAAGAACCATGAAGATACATCAATCTCCTCAACCCAAGCTGAAGAACATTATCATTTATCAATAATATATTACCAGCGGTTAAGGGTAAATTGCTCCTCATACGCCTGCTTAGGGCCCTGGGGGGAGCATAATATTGATATTTTCCATTTCAAAGCTTTTGATATTAATCTCAGCAAAATTTTGACATTTTCCATGTCGCCTATCCCTATCTTTGATCATCATGCTCAAATTATTAAAGTTCGCTCTCTAAATGTGAGTTTCAGGGGATCAAATTTGGGCTGAAATAGATAATAACATATTTTAGAAGAAATATCCAAAGAAAAGAACATTACGTCTATCACTCCATCTCTCCCTGCCAATAATTCTTTATGCTTCCTATGGATTCAAATTTGTCCTCGGATGAAAGTTTGACTCTATCGGCGAGTCTAACTAGGCAGATAAAACAAGAGAAGAGGAGAATGAGTAACTGAGTAAGAAGAAGAACTCTAGAATTAACTACTCTTTGTGAATAATGAAAATAACATAATGTCCAAAAGATATATTTCAACTCCTTATTCATATGGTTGAAAGAGCTGCAGAAGATACCACATTTAAAAAATAATAAATAATATATGATTAGACGGTTACAAATTGCAACAGAATAGTCTATAATGTGTATACATAGATAGTCATATCTGATGTGGCTGTGAATGCATCCGGTGAGTGCTCCTACCCAATGCCTGTTGGGCAAGTTCCTCAGGCGAGTTCCCTAGACATGTCATCTTAGAGACTATTCAGAGCGAGTTCACTCAAGTGAATACCTTAGGTGATTTCCTTTGAGGTAAGGACTTTAGCATGATTGATGAATTATTATTATGGTATTGGTAGGTGCACATCTCATGTATTTTGGATGAGGGGTCCTTTGAGAGAGAAGATTCTTTCTTTAAGATGATTATCATAAGGTGAGTACCTCCATGGGTCGAGCTCTATCGAGGCGAGTTCCTCCCTTAGTCAAGCATGTCTAGGGTGTGTGCTTTGTAGTTCGAGCTTCTCAACGGTGAGCTTCACTAGGGTCGTATAAGTCTCCTCCTCTACTGGTTTGGAAACGTTCTAGCAAGCAATCATTGAACTCCCTCCATCTCCGTATGGGTCGTCATTGGTCCCTCCACTGGTACTAAGCCAAAGCCTTCCCCTCCAAACATAGGCCTTTTACTGCAATCTCTCATCCTCTGTCAAATCGTTGACGGCGAAATATCTCCCCATCTTGTAGATCCACCCATTTGCATCATCTCCCTCAAAGATGAGCATTTTCAGTTTCCTCGCTCTTGGATTGCCTCCATTTCCCCTGAATCCACCATAGCCTCCTATTCCACGAAGGGGAGGTGCTCCCCAAGTGTCCCAATTTTCCTTTATGGGCTCAAACCCAAATCCTTCTTAAAAATCCCCCCTCATCCTTTCAAAATCAACACCCTGATACTCATAATCCACCCCTCTTCTTGCGAAATCAATACCCCTTCGCTCATAACCGATACTCCTCTCCTCCCTAGAAATAGGTTCTAGCGGAGGCATCTTGTCTTCTCCCTCCACAATCTACACCTCTTGATTCTCCCCTCCCCTAAACAGATTAGGGTCCTCCTCTTCCTTGGCCGTCGGTGGCTTCCTTTGTTTCATACGTCGTCGTATTGGGTTTAGCTTCAAGCAACTTCTTCAGCATGTCTTCCACGACGGCAAACTTTCAATCCATCTTTTCATGGACGGATGCAAATTGGTTTTGAAAATATGAAAATTTTTCCACAAAATATGATTTCAGTTGGCCTACTTCTCCCTCCAACAATTCTACTTTCCTTCTGGCTATTGGTACCCTAGATCGAAGAGCTCTAATACCAATTTGTTAGAAAATGCTTGCAAAAATTCCTTTGCTGAATTATAACAATTTGTAAAAACAGATATTGAAAATCTATGGAAGGAAAAACTAGAAATTGAGCTTTGGATTGGAAGAAGATGAAGAAAAATTGCAAGATACAATGGATCTTCTATTGGAGAGAGAGATCCGTCTCTCCCAAATCTCTAGACACCACTAGAGCCCGCTCAAGAACACAAGAAACCCTTATTTCAGCAAAAATCATAGATAAAACTAACCCTAGACTCCCTCGAGCCTTCTTAATAAATTTATTAGATTAAAACCCAAAACTAGCCTTACTATTTAAATATTCCCTCCTAATCCCCCCCCAATCAAGCTTGTGTACCCCACATAACGTGGGCGGCAAGGAGGGCAGAACCCTCCTATTCTACCTTTCATAGACCTAGACAAGTCCTAGTTGGGCCGGATGTGAATCAACGTAGGAATTGCAATTTAGAAATTAAAATGAAGATAATTCAAGGCTTTGTCAACACAAATTTTATTGCCAACAAAAATAAAGGATTAAATAGTTCAAAACATAACGCGGGCGGCAAGGAGGGCGGAACCCTCCTATTCTACCTTTCATAGACCTAGACAAGTCCTAGTTGGGCCGGCTGGACCAATCCAAGATCCAGTCTAACAAAAGCCCATCTATTTTTGGAAAGAAGCACATTTGGGCAAAAACTGTTTGATGTAATTTTTTCTGATTTCTTAAAACAAAAAGGTAGAAACAATATAGTTCCAGGCATGGCCTTACATATTATATTTCACCTTTTGGGGAAAAAAAATCATTTCCCCGTTCCACTTTAAAATGCGGCCAAAATTCTCCCCCACAGTATGTAGCATGAGTGCATCATGTAACTAATACAGTGAGCTACAAGAGCTCTATTTTAAAAAAATTTCCGCTCTAGAGTTTCATACTCTGGTGTAAATGCTGCACTCTATGCTCAAAATAGATTGTGTAAAAACTTGGACATACTTCTAATTCCAAGAAGCGGGTATCACAAGGAATCTTCCAGCTGCATATTTTATAAACTGATAAGTTAGAGATCTATCTGCGTTACACTAGATGACGGAAATTTTGTGACGGTACCAGTAATAAAATTATGAATGAAACTGGAGTAAAACAAAGAATTATCTTCTGCTGACTCACATGTGCACCGCATCTGCGAGATAGAGCATGTGCACCGATTCCAAGTCTAGTATGTCCTTGACCTGAGTAAAAAGCAATGAATAATATATAATTTTCAGACGTTCACACAACAAAACTACAGATGAAACTAAAAAAAAAATCATTATAATGACAGATTAAATCATAAAGAATGTAAGCCAGTATCAGAATAAGCCCACATATCATTCGTCTTGCTTCTCCACCATTATTAAAATAAAATAAAATAAAACAGGAGAAATAATGAAAAATGAATTATAAATATCATTAGATAAATCGGTTTCACCAATCTTCTAAACATACTTGGTTATTTTATGAATATTTTTAATAACTTTTGGATCACCGAATTTCAAGATAAAAAAGAATTTCTATGAATTTTATATTTAAAACAAAACAATTGACATGATTACATTTATGACCTTAATATATTTAATTATAAAAATATATTCCATTTACAGAACTTATCAAAATGCCATTTCTTATCCTATTTCATTTTAACACAGAGGAGAAGAAAAATAGGGAAGAAAAAGAGAGTGGAAAGAGAGAAATTTAGAGTTTGAGGCTCGTAAAGCCATTTTTTAAGGTGGTTCCAGTTGAGAAAACTGTTTGTCTCAAGGTAGGCTATCGTTACCCTACCTCTGATCTCAATGACACTATTTTATTTTTATTTTCTTAATTTTAATTTGGTCAAAATTTACAAAACTGTGATATCTCAATTTTTAGTAAACTTCCACTTATGAGGACATTAGAATGAGATTTCGATGCGTCTACTATCGGAGGAATCGTAGATCAACGGCTACGATTCCGAGTCTATATTTATGATGCATTTATGTATTTCTTTTATTTATATTTCAGTTTTTATCATTGAACTCTTGTGAGGAATTTCTTTTAAGTTGTAGCCACGAGGGCATTTGAGTCTTTTATTTTCTCTTATTTTGAGACATATATATAGATGTCTTCACTATTGTATGAGTGTAATGATTGATTAATGAAAAATTTTCAGCTTTTGTTCTTCATCTCTTTGTGAGCTCTTGAGAGAAGAGAACCGTAGGAGAGGGCCAAGCAATACTCGTCAGCCGCCGGTAAAGGTCGGGCTCGCGGTTCATATCCTTTTATTTTTTATTCCTCCTATAACCACCAGCCATCTTGCCTCCAACCCCTACTGCCGACCACCTCATCCCTTTTCACCTCAAGCTGTCAGCCCCTCCTTCCATACCCCAAACCGACGGCTCCCTAGCCTCACCGTCACCCCCTCCCTCCACCGACCCTAAGCCGGCTCCTCAAGCCGTCGGCCTACCAATCCCAAGCCCAAACCGCCAGCCTACCCATCCCCATCCCTCTTGATTCCCCTTAAATTACACCATTACTATTTTCCTAATTTAGCCCATATATTATTTGGAAAGTTTTCTAATTCAAATTCAAATGAATTTGAATGTTAAATTCTTTCCTAAATAGCCTACACCTATTTTAGAAAGCCCCTTAATCACCTTAAATTTGATTCTCCAATCAACAATTAATACAAGGGTAACATACATCGAATATGGACACCCTTTTCCCCTCTTCCTTTGGCCGGCCCCCTCCCTCTCTTTTCTATCTCCAAGTAATTCTCCTCTCTCTATTAATTAATCCCATTAAACCCTCTCTTAAGCCACCGCCCCTCTCTCCAATCTCACTTAATTAATCCCCCATTAAGGGAGATTTGAATTTCAAATACTTCCCTCCTTTCCACCCTTGAAAATCTAAACTAAAATTTCATATTTCAAAATTGCTTCCTCTCTTTTCTCTAACCCTAAAGCTGAACTTGGAGGGGCCTCCCAAAGTTATGGCCGAACCCCCAAGCTCCTCTTCTTCCCCCCATCTCCTCTCTTCTCCCTCGCTTCACCTACATCCCAAGGAAGAAGAAACATCAACCCTTAGCCTACTTCCCCCATGAATGGCCGACCCTCATCCCAAGGAAGAAGTACATCAACCCTTAGCCTAATTCCCCCATGAATGGCCGACCCTCAGCACAATCATGGATTTGTGAATGATCTTCAAGGAAGAGTAGATATCCTTCGGTCTCCCTTCTTCAACCTTGACTTGGAGATCGACGACACCGTTAATAACTACGTCGACCGAATCCTTTTCACCTTGACGTCTGCCATTAAGGAACACCAGATCTCCGGACAGTGGCGAATCATTGGACATCCACTAACTTCTTCCTCTTCGGCTAACTTTTCGTTGAGCAAGACTGTAGACGTTCTCTTTCTTTTGACGGCATCTCTAGGTTGTTTGAAATTATTCTCCCGCTGACCCCACAATCAAGAGTGAAAGTGAGGAGAACTCGATATGAAATTTCTAATTGTTAAATGGTGGATTTTGTTATTTTTGCATCTAGTGTTACTACAATTTTTGTTCTTATTTTAAAATTGTTATGTTAATCTTTTTGTAACCGCATGCCAAAGCACAACTGCAACTAAGAAATCCTAGACTCTTATCTTGGTGAAACATTGAGTTTAAAATTATCAAAGATTAACAACTTATTATTAATTCTTAAGAAATTCTTGTTTCTCTATATGTTTCACATCATCCACAATGTAATTTTAATATGTTATAGTTATAATCATTCTACACATATTGAAATGAATAATTGAATTTCACCGGGTAAATTGATAGTTATGATTTTTTTTAAGTTAATGAATAGTTTATAGGTTTCTCCACATTTCATACATGATATTGACTTGCTTATAGAAAATAATATGATTGATATATGATAAATGTGACATTTACATGTAAACAAGAAAGGCCGGCTGTAAACACTATAATTAATATGGTTTGTTTATTAAAACGATAATACCCTATAGAGGAGGGTGAGCAGACGAGCTTTTTTTTTAATAAAAGTTTTTGTTATAATCCTGGATGTTAGCCTGTAACAGATTGATTGAATACACTAACGGGTAGAAAGTGAAGACTCTTTATTGATTCATTAAAAGCCACCTGCTAATGAAAATTATTAATAGAAATAATTGAAAGATGTGATTGAAAAATAATTATGGATTGATATGACAGGTGGATGGCAGATGGAAGGATGAAAATAGCACTTTAAAATTGGATATCTAGCAATTTTCATATTAATTTTATAGTCTCCAACTTTTAAAAAAAAAGTTATGATCATTTGGACTGCACTAACATTGAACTGGTTAACTTTTGGATACTTGATGATGAGTCAACTCCATAATTTGATTTAGAAGACATGGATATGAAAGTTTATAAAGGGATGCAATTCCCATAGCTATGGAAGCAAACATAAAGTCTATTAGATCGCCTCAAAGTAAGTTCAAAGTTGATAGTACATTTAATTAAATCATTTGGGGGTAATCTAAAACAAAGACTTAATATTTTAAATTCATGGTTTGCAGATGAAGATGACTTAGATAATATAGGTGATGGAGATAAAATACTTGCATATGAGGATGTTGAAGCATTTGGGTGGAAGATTTCGGTTAAGGAGGATTTGATGATCTATTATTTGATCATATAAATTTGGGAGATGATTATTAGCTTCATTAAGACTTTTTTTTTAATTTTTTGTGCAAACTGATATGAACAATTTAATGGATCTCTAATTTCATTGTCTTAAAAAAATTATAATATACATGCAGTTTTCTTATTATACTTCATGTTATGTTACTTGTATTACATATTATTTATTGATATTCATTTTCTTTTGTTCATTTCATTTTTATAGTTTCACCTGCTAGAAAAAAAAAAGAATTAACATGAAAATTTTTAATATGAATTTACGAAGACTAGGCCAAAAAAAGGGTATTCATTAATGATTTATGCTTGATTATTATTTATTGTATTTAAGTTTTAATCAAAAAGTTTATATGATTATGTCATTATTATATAAATTATGTTATTTTTAAATGAAAATGATGAATCTAACTGACAACATGAACTTGTAACGCAACAACGAAACATAATCTAAAAAAGAAAGCAAATTAATTTTGAGAGTGCTCGGCCTCAACTGAAACAAGTTAGCCAGAAAAATTCCATCATAAGTTTTAAGAATGGAAGTTTTATTAAGCATCAAATTGACATCAAATAATAGATCTATTTCAAGATATGAACAAAAAAAATTCAATAGAATGAAACAGCTCCTACCCTAGGGATATTGAATAGACATCAGAAACATTCGGTTACATGCACACCAACATAAAATATAATGTAAACGTTCTTTCTTACCGTATGCTTAAGTGAATCTTGAAATCGACACCATGAAACATCTGACAACTGGGATTGCACATATTGCTGTAATGTAGTCACAAAGTGATAAATTTGTTGCCTGCATATAAAACAATAGATGTTATAAGTTACTGCAAATAACCATTCAGATATCAGAACTAAGCGATTGATGAGCGAAAGAAAAAGAAACATAAATAGAAACATTCCAGGTCTGAATCAGATTGCGGAACTCAAGCTCAGTATTTAGAAGTGCAGCAAGCATTTGCTTCAAAATATCACCTAAATTAGCTTCCTGATACAGGACAAATAATTTCATCATCATCAGCTCACTGGATATGTGAGTAGTTCATATATAATTGTTATTGCTTAACATAAACTCTCCCCTTTAAAATTTGAAAAAGAAAATCACATCATCATCAAATCATCATCAATAGCTTTACCCCAATCTTAAAACTTACAATGAGAAGAGAGGAGAGTAGAAAATGGCAGTTTGAATGAATGAATTTTATTCCCTTTTTTCTGAGAAAACCAAGAAGACAAGTTGTACATAAATAGATGGAGGAATAACTATCGAAGAAAGAAAGAAAGAAAAGAAAATCAATCTTTAGTCCAAGAATGCAGAATTAATCATGCAACAAAAATATATATTGCTGTCAAGAATTGTTAGATTGATACAAATGAAAAGTTATTCATGGATTATTGGAATGCCGTAGAGATTAAGTTGCTATCCACGAATTGCTGGGTTGCCTTAGCAGGAAAGTTGATGGCCACATATTAAGGATTATTTCAATGGTGGTCAAGCTGGCTTTTATATCTTGATCAAACCAATCCTGTTAATTAGTTTATCAAAGCTCACTCTACAAAAAACCTAGGTTAGCATATCCATAGTTTAAGGGTTCGTTAGAAAATAATTTAGTTGGACTACTTAAGTATCAAGTTTTGCTAAAATGAAATGAGTCCTATAATGGTGGATATTTTTTTTTGCAATACTTATGGCAACTTTTTTGTTGTCCGATACTTTTAGAGAATTTTCAAAGGATAGTTTAATTATTCTAACAACCTTTCTAACCAATCTTTCCAACTGCGTTCCATCGCAAATACCAAGTGTCATTATCATATATTGTACTTCAGCATTGCTTCTTGAGATCATAGCATATTTATTCCTTCATGTAACTATGCTTCCACATACATAATGCCATAAACAAAGCGGATCTTTGATTTGATGTATCGCCAGCACAATCAAGATTTCTGAAAAATGTTAAATTTCTTGATGAATAATTTTTTCTATAATAGACATTTTTACCGGTATCATATTGCATTGTTTAAAATTGAGCAATATGAAGCTCGTCTTGAGGCCCGCCTCAACACAATTCCTATGAAAAATGTCTCTAGGCTTTTGCCTCAAACTTTTTTTATAAGGCTTATGCCTTAGTTTGGCTGAGGCCCGCCTCGCACCGGCTTGCCTCACTGGCATGAGACTTACGCCACAACCTATTTATATATAATTTTATTAAAACTTATCTAAATCCTAAACTAAAGCCACGAACAAATCACATATTTATTGCACCTCGAAGCCACAACTTCCTCTCGACTATCTCGATCTCTAGCTCACCATTTTCACCGCAGCCAGCATTGTTGTAGCCACCATCGAAAATTACTTTAAAGATGGACAATAACACCACCTCTAAATTTTTTTTGTATTAGATCATCTTTATGTTAATAAAAAAATATTTATAAAAGAAGAAGACAACTGAAATAAATGAAGAAGCAAATTGGGAGTCAATGGACTTCACGGGATGAGGAAAGGAAGAGACTAATTTGTAATGACGACGACTCAAATAAAGATCTCTCAATGATGACAGTATAGATGTTTTCTAAGTTTTTGCCAACTATTTAAGCTTTCTTTAGGAATTAAATGTGGATGAGTAGGGAATTGAGAAAAATAAATTTGAAGTTAAACTTGATGTTATATGATACTTTTATGCAATTTCTATATTTAATATTGTTTTGCTCTTGTAATATATAGATTTTAATTCTATTTCACGTAATTTATCATTTTACGTATTATACATTTTTTTGTTGCATATGTATGTCAATTTATTATTTCACAGTTCAATAGAAAGTTAATATGTCATCATCTAACTTATTATTTGATTATTATACAAAAAATCACTTTTCGGATTTATTTTGACGTAACACAATTTTTTTTTATTTTGAGGCTTACGTCTCGCCTCACAAACAAAAAAACGTCTTAATACCCAATTGTACAATTTTAAACCAGGTCATTTTGAGATGCCTTATAATGTGGTTAGCAGCATCCATGTGGTCTTATGCAGGGTCTCCATATATTGGCTTATAGTACTAATTGGGAATCCATCATCAAAACGAACCAGAGAAAGGTAGATGGTTTGACCACAAGGCATTGATACCTACTTTTATCAACGGTCATACTATTAGTGGTGATCTCAATTTTTTTTCCATTGGTGTTTTTGTAACTTACATTCAAGCATTCATGTTTCTTAAAGCAGATCAAAAATATACTTTCTTTGAAAAATAATAGTATCTTATTTCATGTCATTGTCATATTAAAAAAACATTTAAATTTACAAGTCTTTTAGCTAAAATTCTCTTATCAGAAACCCTTTTAATCTAGTTAGCTCTTCCTCAATTATCAATGAATATAATATTATCTATATACTCGATAAAATTATATTTTTTGGTTTAGGTAAGCGTTTGATAAAGAAAGTGATCAATTTGATACTTAGTGTGCCTACACTTCTCAATATATTTGGAAAACCTGCTCAAAGCAGCATAAGGAGAATGTTTGAAGCCACATTGAGCTTTTCTAAGTTGACATATCTTATCAAAGTTTCTCTAATTTTTCAATCCAAATGTGATCTTCATGAATATTTCCTCCTCAAAGTCCCCATTAAGAAAATCATTCTTAATGCCAAGTTGATATAGAGGCCTGACCAAATTTATCGCAAGAGAGCAAAACTCGAATTATGTAGAGTTTGGCAACTGAAAAGAAAACTCCTTGACAGTCAAAAGCATATAATTAGATGTACCAATTTGCAAAACGTTAGGCTTTTAATTTGTCCACACTCCCATCTACTTTAATTTAAAGATCCATTTGCATTCAACCAATTGTTTTCCTAATGGAAGTTAATAAACTTTAGACGTATCATTCTTTTATAATGTCTGGATTCTTCCATTACAACCATTTTCCACAAATGACTTTTTAGAACTTCATAGATATATTTTGGAATCTATGTTTTATTAAGGGGTTGCTTAGTTTGCTAAAAAATAATTTAAAATAAAATGGAATATAGTGTATAAAAAATGCATTGTATTTAAAATAATTAGAGTTGTTTTGATGAGTGTAAAATAAATGCAGGTGATTATTTGTTTTTTAGCTGGAAGAAAATTTAATGCAATTTAAAGCTCAACGATGGTGGTTGTCAGTGGCCGATGGTGGTGGGAGCAGCGATGGCCTACAGGCTACAACGATAGAGTAAACCATCATAAGTAGTGAAAAATTAGACTAGAGGAGAACTACAATGGTTACCAACCTCATATCATTTAAATAAAAGAAATTACCTGAAATAGTCCAAAATTGTAATGACCTTTTTTGAAATGAATGGAAAAAAAATCCATCATCTTCAAACTTCTCAACTGGAGCCAAAAAGAACCCAATTCACATTTAGAAATAAAGCAAATTCCATGATCATGTCAAGGTTATGGAATTCTATGATGCTTGAAATCTAAGAGTTGTAGATGCTCCTAACAATAGCAAAGGATGCATTGGATGATGTCAAACAAACTTACTCGAAAATAAGGATGCTACTATCATCTATGAAATTAAAACTAAGATCTCAACAACTAGACAAAATAATATCCCTATCATTGAATATTTTAATGCAATGAAGGTGGATTGGCTTTAACTAGATTACTATCAAGATCTCAAAATGAAGTGCAGAGATGATATAGTAATTGTCAAATAATTTGTAGAAAGAGAAATGATGTTTAAGTGTCATGCAAGACTCGATAATAAATTCGATCAAGTTTGAGTTCAAATCTTAAGCATTGAGAATTTGCCATCTCAAAATGAGGTCTTCTCACTCATACGAACTGAATAAGTAGAGTGATCATGCTAAACAACCCCATCTCTAAAACAACTATTATGGCAACCACAAAACCTAAAGATAAAGGACTTGTTAAGATTGACTCTCACCAAAAAGAAGGGAAAAAACTCTCTAATAAGAAACATATGGTGCAACTATTGCAAGAAAAAAAAGTCATATCAAAGAAAAATCTTGCAAACTTCGCAAAAAGCTATAAGGCTGTGCTGGAAACAAAATGATCGCTCAAAAGGGTAAGCTTTTCTTAGGGAATTAAAAGACTCAATTCAAAAAAATCAACGAGGCCAAGAACTTCATCAACACTCTCGAAAAATCACCTAGGTTGTGATATCTAGCTCAAAGTTGTGATGACAAGGAAGAGAAAAGGGCACTCGAAAAAAAAAAAACTTATGAAGAATTTGAAATCAAAGAATAGAGCAAACTCAAATATTTCTTAGGCATAGAGGATGCTCAATAAAGCCAAAATTTGGAAACTCAATCAAATTTTTTTCTCTCAACAAAAATAAGTTACAAATCTTTTAAAAAAAGACTAAGTGCAAATTTTGTTAAACTCCAACTAATCAGGCCAAAAATTGGACGCAGATGAAGAGGGGACTGAAGTGGGCATGGCATAGGACAATATCAAATATTTGTTGGGAAACTAACCTATCTCAAACCCATCTTGACATTGCCTTTTGCAGTATGTCTCATAAATCAATTTATGCACAAGTCGAAAGAATTTCAGCTTCGAGCTACTTCTAGAGTTCTCAAGTATTTAAAATCAAATCTCAAAAAAGGGATTCTCTATATAAAATATGAAGAATCTACAAAAATGAATATTAGACCGATGATGACTATGACGAATAAGAGATCCACTTTAGCATATTGTACATTTCTGGGAAGAAACCAAATAACATGGAGACGAAAGCAATAATTTTGGTCTCAAAATTGAGTTCTAAATCTGAATTCAGAGCAACTGTTGAATATATATGTGAAGTCCTTAGTTTAAAATTATTTCAGAAGATTTAAAAATCAAATATAAATAACCTATAAAGATATATTGTAACAATATTTCTACCATAAACATTGCTCACAATCAAGTACAATATGATGGAAATGAATATGTGGAAGTTGATGGTTCGTAAAAGACAAAGTGGAAAGTGGGTTAATTTGCACTCCATATGCCCCTACGGAAAGCTAGCTTGTCAATATATCCACCAAAGGGCTTTGCAACGTCGCACTCAAAATAACTGTAAACAAACTGGGATGATAGATCTAAACCAACTAGTTTGAGGGAGAGTGTTAAAGGCCAAGAAACCCAGTGGGAATGACGATGCGACTACAAAAGGGAAAAGTAGGCCATTAATTTATCATCACTATGACTCCCAAAAGTAGTGTTTTCTAGCTAGGCGAATTGTTGCAGATATGTAGTTAGCAGAATTGGTGCCGGGTGCGGTGTTAAATAGGCAAGGGTTCCCACATCATGGACGAATGTGATCAAAGAAACTAGTCTATGAAACTAAATTTATGATAGGAACTTGGAATATATGTTTATTTATGAATAAATTAATAGAATTAATATATATTATGATTCATAGGAAGATAAATATTCTATGCATTCATGAAACAAAATGAGTTGAAGAGAAAGCTAAAGAGATTGATAGCTCAAGATTTAAACTATGGTATTCTGGTAGTTGTACTAAAATTGGTGTATGTGTGATTATAGATAAGAGTTTGAAGGATAATGTTATAAAAATTAATAGAATTAGAGATATACTTATAAGAAGAATATTAATATTATAAGTGCTTATGCTCCTCAAGTGAGTTTTGATATATATTCAAAATTAAAATTTTAAAAAGACTTTGAAGAATTAATACAAAAAATATCTCTTGAAGAACAAGTTTTTATTGAAGGAGATTTAAATGAACATGTTAGTAGAGAGGTAGATGATTTTAAAAGAATTCATGATGGCTATGGGTTTAGAGCGACTAATAAAGGTGGTAAAACCAAATGATTTTTATTTAAATTATGATTTTGTAATTACTAATATATTATTCAAGAAAAGAGAAGAGCATCTCATCACTTATAAGAATGGATATAGTAAAGCTCGAATTTATTATTATTTTTATAAGAAAAATATATCATTTAGAACGCAAAGATTGTGAAGTTATTCCGAGTGAAAATTTATGTACCAAACATCCCTTGTTAGTTTTTGACTTTAAGATGAAGGGCGAGAAATAAAAAATAAAATAAAACATTATTATAGGATTAGATAGGGGCACTTAAAAAATATTAATAAAAATATTTTTTTTATTTTTAGAGTAATATTCTAGATTTTAAGATTTTATCTTTGCATGAGGAAGCTAATGTTATGTGCGAAAAAATAGCTAGTGATATTAAAATGTTGCAAAACATGTGTTTGGACTATCAAAGGGAAAAACCTCTAAAAGTAAAAATAGTTGGTGGTGGAATCAAATGTGCAATAAAATATAAAAAAATAAGAAGACTTATTATAAAATTGGTTTAGATGTAAAAATTATGATAATTGAAAAGATATAAAGAGACCCGTGAGGAGTCTAAGAAAGTAACATGCGAGGTAAACATTTTAGTTTTTAAAGATTTATATAATATATTAGATACTAAGGAGGGCTAAAGGTATATATATATATAAGTTAGCCAGCCAAATAAAGAGATAGGAGAAGTAAGAATTTAGTTCAAGTAAAGTGTAATATAGATGAAGATAAAAAAATGCTTTTATTAGAAGATGATTTTAACAAAGGTGAATGAGATATTTTGCTAAACTTTTCAATGAAGATTGTGAGAAAATCATTGACTTTAGTAACCTTAACACCTAAATGAAAATATTTTTTAAAATTTTTATCAGCATATTAGTAAAAATGAAGTTAGAGAGCCTTTAAAGAAAAAGAATTGTGAAAAAGATGTTGGACCTGATGATATTTCAATAGAGGTGTGGAAATACTTAGGAGATGAAGGAATCTCGTGGCTCACTAAACTTTTTAATATTATTTTGAATATTAAAAAAGATGTCAGATGAGTGGAGAATGAGTGCGTTAATTCCAATTTTTTAAGAATAAAGGTGATGCACAAGATTGTGCGAATTATAGAGAAATTAAGTTAATCTGTCATACTTTAAAACTATGGGAGAGAGATATGGAGCATAGTTTGTGACGTGATACTAATGTTTCTCAAAATCAATTTGGATTCATGCCAGATAGGTCAACTATGGAAGCTATACATTTATTGAAAGGTTTGATGGAGAAGTATAGAGAGAATAAGGAGGATCTAAATATGATATTTATTGATTTGGAGGAAACATATGATAAAGTTCCAAGAGAAGTGCTATGGAGAGTTCTAGAAAAGAAATGGGTTTATAATGCTAATATTCAAGTCATTAAGGATATGCAGGAGTTGTTACTTGTGTTCAAAGACAAGGTGGTTTGATCAAGTATTTTTTTTATTTTAGTTGGATTACATCAAGGATCAGCCTTAAGCCCATATCTTTTTGCTTTAGTCATGGATGTTCTTACTAGACATTTGCGAGAGGTTGTATCTTGGTGTATGTTTTTTGCTGATGATATTGTTCTTGTTGATAAGATTAGAGAGGGAGTTGAAGGAAAACTTAAATTATGGTGGTTAACCTTAGAGTCTAAAGGTTTTTGTTTGAGTAGATCTAAAACTGAATATATGGAGTGTAATTTTAATAGTAATAGATCCAGCGGGGGGACTGTAACTTTGGACAATTAAGTCATTAATAAGAGTACACATTTTAGATATCTTGGAAAAAACTATGTAGAATTTAAGTTGGATGGTTGAAGGAATGCATCGTGTTTGTTGTGTGATAGAAAAGTACCCCTCAAACTTAAGAGAAAATTCTATAAGATGGTGGTAAAACCTGCACTGCTTTATAGCGTAGAATTTTGGCCATTAAAAGAGAAGCATAACATAAAGTTAAGTGTTGCAGAGATGAGGATGCTCAGATGGATGAGAGGATTTACTCTTAGAGACAAAATACGAAATGAGCATATATGTGAAAAGGTTGGAGTAGCTCCAGTGGAAGATAAGATTAGAGAGAGTCGCCTTAGATGGTTTGGTCACATAAAACGGCAACCTTCCGATGACCTGGTTAGGATTGTAGATGAATGAGAATTTGAATTATGATAAAAAAGGTAGAGTTAGACCTAAAAAGACTTTGTTAGAAAATATTAGAAATGACTTTTTTTTATTAGATTTAAATGAGAATTTGACTCTTTTTTTTTCTTTTTTTTTTAATGAGAATTTGAGTCTTAATAGAACGCAATGGACAAAAATGATTCATGTAGCTAACCTCACATAGTAGGATAAAGGTTTGATTTTGTTGTTGTTGTTGATGATGATGTTTTTGACATATTGTATTTAGACCTCAAGATTATGTCATTATTTTGGGGTAGTTACTTTAGTCAATGACATTAGTTAACTAAACATTTGTAGCAATTTTTCAGCAATTTATTTGTAGTTAATTTAGTCAATGACATCAGTAGATAGGATTATAGACATAAAACTGAAACTAATATGACAAGATAATGTAGCGTAACTACATTCTAATCAATTTAACAAAGGTAAATCCAACACAAGATATTCATCTTAGAAAATAAATTGAAGCCAGTAAAAATGACATGTGGAAGTGAATTATAATAACCTCATTCTCATTAAACTGTTGAAGTCCTCCATCTCACGAAATGTTCTTTGTTGACCGTGGTTCAAAATATAGAGTGCATCCTGTTTCAAAAGGTAGACTATTGATCAGTCTAACAACCCGCAAATTTATAAGGAAATGTTATCTGCTTCTGGGAGAGATCATTATATTGCAAAAGAAATAAAAACTAAATGAACAACAAAATTAAGCTCGTGATTGGAACAAATAATAGGTGGGTGTTGACTTCAATACTAACTCCATGATTGATTCAATAGAAAATGATGAAAATGGAGGACGCATGTATCACCCAAGTTCGCACACATTTAAAAAAAAAACCGGCACTTTTTTAGCAAAATTGATATCATGGATGTGTTAAGAGCATCAAAGTTACTAAGAAGAACTCCAGCAGTCTATTAGGTCGCACACGACAAAAGTTGCACACAAAAGAGATAACATCGTGTAATATTACTCCACCATCGCTCATTTCACAAAAACCCATAGTGCCAACATATCCAAAACATCAAAACTGTCAAAAAAGGAGCCCATATTATCCTATCGACCATATGAAGGTGAAATATAAAATTCATCAGCACACGGGAAATAACACAAAATTCGAGATGCATAAGGAACAGGAGATTATAGGAGCTAATTTAAATATTTATTTATTTTTATTTCAATTCCCATGTTATATCACAAATCCTCAAAATCCTGCCATACCAATCAAGTCGTTGTTGGAGTGCTGTTTTGTCACAACCCAACCCAATAGCACCAATAGACAGGACAAGTCTTATCATGTAGAGCTGCAACAAACGAACCCCAAGACTTAAGTTTTGAAAAAAGTTCAAAAATTTCTTCCAAGTTTTCACTTTAATAAAACAAAAATAAACACAGAGCTACTAACAACATAACTCATCCAAAAATTTTTCTTTTAATTTATCGTCAAAAAGTATATACAATCACAGTACACGACTACAGACAAAAACTACAAAACAAGGAAAGAAAACTATCCATGACCATGTAAAATCAACATAAGAAATACCTATATATACTCATATCAGAATCCTGAAAACTAGTGCTCAACGATCTCTTTTCACTTTCACAAACCCTAAAAATAGAAAGCAAAACATCTGTGAGCTAACACAGCTCAGCAGGCCAAATACCGATCTAAATTTCCAATTACTTCATTCTTAAGCATATACCAGAAACTTTAAATGCAATATAATAAATCACCATGCTGAGCAGAATAATAACGACAGTTATTTGTAATTCAATTAACGATGGTAAAGATTAATAATTACGATTGGGACCCTCTAACTAAGTGGTTTTGTCATTAAATAACGCAATTACATTATGAACATGGCCATAGCCCGAATATTCCTCAATGGATCCATCCCTCCTGAATCGTAAACAATATGGTGCATTTAATATAGCACAAAGCCTTTTGTTAGCCAAAGTCAAGTTGAAATTATCTGCTAAGACAAATATCCACACCATATCTACAGAATCCCCTTAGACGAAGCAACTCATAACTACTGATAAGTATATTTCAGTCGAGCTTGGTCGATTTCCTCCACTAACAAAGTAGAATAGGGTCCATGACAAGACGGGACGACAGAATTATATAACCTTGATCGACTTCATTATCATTTCCTCCGCCATCTGTTTTAAGCTAACAGTAGCAAATTTCTCTCAATTTTAAAACCAAAACTACTAGTACTATACCATAACCAATCAGTGCCACTATACCATAGCCAATCAATGCCTATCAAATAGTCTTTATAAAAAATTCTCTCTAATCACCGAGATGGATACCTATAGAAAACTTGGAACCATAACTTAAAGTCTTCACAAAATAAAGACGAAATATCTAGATAATGTCTTATCTCTAATTCAATTTACCTTATAAAATTTGACATTGAATCCAAACTCACTCAGAAGAGCTAGGCTTGAAATTTTGGAGCCCATTGTCGATCCTAAAAAATTCATAATAAAGTTTGAGTTCAACATTTATTAGAAAACAAGTTTATCTTTGAAGGCTCTCTTTGGGGTATATTTTTATACTTCCATAGTAAAAAAAAAATTAATTTGTTTTCTTAGCTATAGTTTTTATTATATTCTCTCAATTACAACATTTCTAAAACAATTTTTGGGCAAAAAAGCTATCTAGTTCTTTCATCTAAGCATATATTGATGATGATTACTTTCACTATCACAAAATCAATACAAAATAGACCCCAAATAAAACCTAAGATGGAAAGGGATATACATAGTGAATATTGGGGTTGAAGTATATATCCTAAAATCTAAAATTTTCAATAATGCAAAACTGTGAACTTCAGGTCACAACAAGGGCAACTTAAACCCATCCAAGGTCCCAACTAATCAAGCTTTTATTTTGGAGAAAATTATTTGCAAAAGGGATACATAACCCAATTAGTAACCCCAAAATAGAAAACAATAAAAGGGCAAACAAGGATTCGAACTAAATCTTTGGGAAGTATAAGACAATGCTAATAGTAAGCAGGGAAATTTGGAAAACAAGTCCAAGCAAGTAAAAATATGATTTTTATTCTCTTTCACATGAAAATAAGTGTTCATAATATATAGAATCTCCTTCAGCTGAACATGCATGAAAACTTCCTTAGTGGAAAAAAATTGTACAACTGAACTGGATTGACTGCAGGCAGCTTTTGGAGTGATTTCTAAACTTAATTAATTGATGAAAGTTGCTAGGGATATTTCCTAAATAGTTGTTGTAGTCAAAAAATGATCGTAAGGTTTCCACACATCCATGTGTCTCAATTGTGAATTTCAAGAGGTCAAGGCCTCACATAGGGTTTAAGTTAATATGACAAGGAGGTCATGGCTTAGAACCACAAAAATACCCTCCATGCAAAGAAAGAGTAAGACAGCGTACATTTACCCCTCCTCAAAGCTACATTAATAAGAGCTTCATGAAGTGGGTTGCACCTTTATTGGTGCATTTTCTATCATTTGTTGCAAAAGAAAAAATTATGCAAATGTATGGAAGTAAATATATACAGGAAATTAAGCACCAAAATAAACTCCACGACTAAGAAAAAAGGTTGACAAATACCTTTAGATAGTGCCACACATCAATCAACGAAGCAACAGAAAGTCTGATTTGTATAAGATAACTGAAGATGTCAGCATATATTTGTAAAGCCTCTTGAGTTACAACAATATTGACAGGCCAGTCCACTCGGTAACCCAACGCCACAAAATCAAAGGCATGAATTCCTGCCATTTTAAGGACAAGAAATATTGAAGAAAGCAAATAGCTACAAAAATTATTAGAACAAAAGTGTTTGTGCATGTGCATACGTGCTTACCATTTTTAATAACTGGCTCATATACACTCTCTCCTTTAATGTAAATGAACAATCTTTCCTTATAAGGATCATTTTCACATGAAGACCTCTGCAAAGCCAAATCGAGAAGTCCCTGGATCCTGGATGCTTCCTCTTCGTGCTCAAAAGCAGACCATTTCTTGCCGAAAGATGGAACTCAATCAAATTCAGAACCCAAAATGTGTATCAAACAATTTATAACATGGTCCAAAGGTGATGGTAGTTTATTCAAGAGATTAATGAATTACCTGACAGCCTAGTGACATCACAAACAAATCAGCCCAGTCAGATATTTCCATAAAATGATAGCGCCGCAGTGCCAATAAGTGTTCTCGAAGGCTAAAGCCTTCCTCAAGGAACTTAATAGTAAAGAAGCTTATATACTTATATCTTCAGGTAGTGAATGTCGTAAAGGAGAATAAAAGTTTAATGACAGGAATGAAGAAGATAATAGAGAATAAAGAAGCATGTATTAAAGTGAATAACTTACTAAATTGCATTTTATAAAGTTTTCACTCACGCACAACCAGAAACAAGCCTGAAATTCAAATCTTCATGGAACTTGAGTTTCCATGAATATGAACTAATCCTCAAATTTGCTAAAGAAGTTACCCTAAAATCTTTTTTCTTATCACAACCTAGCCATAGACCACTAGGTGAACCATCAAATGGATTGGCCCAGTCCAACCCTATCTTCATGATGTTTTGGTATGAACCCAACTAAGTCGGGTCCAATCCAACACTATCTCCATGCGGGCAACACATTTAAGGAACAGCTTGACCATCACAATAGGAGTTGCAAGTGACTTCAATAAGTATAAAAGGGCAGAACACATCAACAAAAACAGCATAGCATGATGTAACAATTTAAATGTCTCCATGTGCAAGCACGGTAGGTTATAACATGTACATCTACACAACTATAGGTATACATGTACGCAAAACATACCATGCAGACAGGTACACTAACTCATGCAGCACAAAAATAAATTAAAATACATGTAAAATGAAGTCGATGAACTAAACACTAAACAGAATCAACAAACAAAATCCTATGCATGAAAATGCACCATTCATACGCTCCTTGCATGGTTAGAGGATAAAAAGCTTTTAGTTTGGCATGCTTTGGAGATGGCAAGTGACTGAACTTGAGAAAGAATTTTAATCAATTCTTCCTTTCGAGTTTCTGTTAGGAAATTGATACATCAAGGGGCCCACCTTGTGGGGCCAAAGGGAGTTTGATGTGAAACTAAATGCGATGACAATAATTGCAATTAAGAGATTAATAAAATTGAAAAACTTTGTGTACTACCAATAAAATCTAGTTTACTCAAATGGAAGTTTAAGAAGATAACATGAGAGATTAAGCAATAGCAATAGGTTACACTTTGAGATTACTAGAACTTGCAAAAATAACAACCAAGATTAATAGGTAATGCAAACAGCAAATATAACAAAGCCTCAAATTTAAAATCTAGATCCTTCACTCAACTCTTGAAAGTGGAGGCTAGCGGAGGAGGATTGCAAGCACACTTAGAGATGCCACTATCACACAAGTGATGCCGAGAGAACTAGTCACCGGGGAAGAAACTGGAGTTGGAGAAGTGCGCGGTCGTCCGATAAGAATCCACGGAGTTCTTGGACGTTGAAGCTCGATGGTCCCGGCAAGACAATAGACTATGCGATTGACGTAACGTTCCACGGTGACATCGTACTCCCAATCCGGCTCGTAGAAGGGGGGAGAGGAAGATGTCGATCTCCTCTTGTTCGGTGTAAGCGAAGCCGTGATCAACTTCCGGATCCGCCATGCATCCTTGCCGGGAGATGAAGGAGTCACAATGGAAAGAAGAGGGAGTGAAGGTGGCGGCTTGGAAGGAGGAGGGCGTTGGGCCGGCGTGAGGACTTGGAGGGGATCGGCTAGGGTGGGAGACCAAAAGGTAATTGCAGAAAATCTGAAGTTGTTTCAGATTTTAGTGGGTTGGGGAGGGATTTAATTTGAAAATTCAAATTAATCCAAAAGGGGGGAGGGCGGCAATGGAGAGGGAATTGGGGTTGATTTAGTGGGGGAATTAGAGTTAATTTGGGAGAGAGAGAGAGAGAGAGAGAGAGAGAGAGAGGGCCCATAGAGGGGGCCGGCTAAATAAGAGAAGAGGGAGGGGGATAGGTGTTAATTAGGTGGGGTCCACATGATTAATCATAGATTTGAAGAAAATCTAAAGTAAATTTCGGGTTTTAGAAAAAAGGAAGTTTCCTAATTTAAATGCAAGTAATTGGCAACCGTTTGAATTTCAAATTTGAATTGAAATTCAATTATGAAGATTGCCTAAAATCTTGGACTTATTTTAGGAAAGTTATCAATGCCCTTTTGAACTTTTGAAATTCAAATTTGTGATCCCAAGAGGAGGGGGCTGGCGGCTAGAGAGGTGAAGTGGGGAGGATGGGGGATGGAGGATGGTTGTTGGGTGGTTGGTGGGTTGTGGCCGGCGACTTGGGCGGCCCAAGGAGGCCAGCGGCAGGGGGGAGGGGAAGTCCGATGCCAGAAAAATTAAGAGAAGAAAAATGGAAAAGTTAGGTGGCTACTAACCTCAAGCACCACTTCCTCAAGTACTCACAAAGAGATCTTTGGAGACTTACGAACTCACAAAGAGATCAAAATAAGATAATTTCATTCATCAAAAACTCGCTCATACATTGCATGAGGCCTCCTTTAAATAGGTCAAGATAAAAATAAAACTAAAATGACACAAATGTCCTAAGGGCTACATAAGTTACTCAATGCCCATAGGGGCAAACTAGGCAAATAGAAATACAAGCATAAATAAAATACAAGCAAATCAAAAATAGAGGCTCTGGATCGTAGCCGTCAATATGCATCTCCGGCGATGGTACACGTGTCGAAATCTGATGTCCTCATCAGAGTTAATATCCACTATGTAAGTAGGAATCATGAGGGAGTTGTTTCGGAAAGTTTTGATTAAAATTGGGAGTGAATTATTTAGAGAAAGGAGGCAAATTTGAATTTAGATTGGGGAGGAAATTAGGAAAGGTTTATTAAAAGAAAGAGGGATACTTTGAATTCAAATATGGATGGGAATTAGGAAAGTTTTATTTAGGGAAAGAGGGCTGATATAAATTCAAATTATGGAGGAAATTATGAAGATTTTATTAAGAGAAAGAGGGCTGATTTGAATTAAGATTTGGGAGGAAAATATGAAGGTTTATTTAAGGGTAATTAGGTTGTTTTATTTTTATTATGTGATTTATGTTTGCAGTAGTTTTCTTAGGAGTTATTCCCAACGGCATCTAGGGTTTGTGGAAGAGCCGATCTACCTCTCAAATAGGGCTGCAAATGAACCGAGCGTTCGATGAGCTACTCGTGGCTTGGCTTGATAAGAGCTCGTTCATGTTAATTTGATAAGATAAATGAACAAGCTTGAATCATTTTGATAAATACTCAAAAGCTAAATATATGAGCTTGAACAACTTGGTGTTCGATTTATTTATATTTATGAATAGTATCATTTAACGCTCGTTAAGAAGCTGGATTAGTGCTTAACAAAGAAGCTCGATTAGAAATATTAGAGTTTCAAATATATATATATATATATATATATTAAATTTAATAATTTATTTTTACTAATCCAGTCAAAAATTGTTTAATATTTTTTTTTTACTTCCCACATCCGCCTATAATCAAGAACAACCCACCTTTGAACAAATATAAGATGAATCATATATCATTTGTTCATGAATGAGCTCATTTAGTAGCTCGAAAATATTAATTAGATATATTTATGAATGTGCTCATTTGATAGCTCAAGAATACTCATTATATATTTTCTTGAACGAGCTTGTTTGATAGTTTAAAAATTTTCACTAGATATGTTCACGAACAGACTTGACGTAATTGTTTGTTAGAAAGCTCGATAAAACTCGTTTGTTAAGTTAATGTACATCTAGAAGTATAGTTTATTTATAGCTCGATAAGGCTCGTTTGTTTAAAGCTCGATAAGCACAAAAAAAAGTCGAATATGAACCAAATATGAACACTCATTAATTTAAATGAACCAAACTTGAACAAAAACAAAAAAAGCTCAAATCAAACTCGAACCAAACTTGAACAAGTTGATAATAAACAAACTCAAACATGAAAACGCACAGATTTGGCTTGGCTCGGTTCATTTGAAGCCCTACTCTCAAACAGTAGATTAATTGCATCTTTCAATATTTATTGAAGAGATAAGAAAAAAATTAGCCCTACTATTTAGTTCCTGTGTTTTTTCTTTTTATCTACTTGTTGTTTTTACTTCCAAGACGCATCAAATTGGTATCAAAGCGAGATTTTGGAGAAATGGCAGCAAAGAAATTAGATGCGTTGGAAGGCGAATTAGAGCAAATCAAGTTCGAGATAAAGGAAAGGTTATCCACCATCGAAGGAAGATTTTCAGCCATGAAGAATCGGATGGAGAGTTGATTTGCAAGGTTGGAGGTGATGTAAAGGAAGCTCGTTGAGATGCAATCCAAAACTCCACTGGTAGTTCCGATTGCTAACCCTAACCAAGATTTGACCGGAATTCCCTTTTGCCAAATTTGAGAAAAAAGAGATCGGATGAGAGGAGTTTGACCAAGAGAGTTTCTATCTTCAAGATTCTGTAGGGTTGTGATAAGGGACGGATCAGGGTTTCTAGATGGGGGGACTGCAATGAGAAAATTTTATGGTGGAAGTAGTGGGGTGGCCAGCCACTATGGGAGGCATCTCATGCAAAGGGAGTGGGCGACCGAAGATGGAGGGGGTCGGGTTATGCAAAGATGGAAGAAAGGTGGGAGTTACACCCATGATGCACGAGGGGAACCGTTGGAGGGAGAGGAAGTTAAAGATGTCAATATTTGGAGAGGAACGTGCCCATGGGTGGGTGTACTGGGTGGAGACAGATGCATCAAGATATGGCTTGGGGAAATACTCATGCTGAATCATCAATTCATTGCTTATTTCAGCCAGCTTCTCACAACCAGGGCGATGCTCAACTCCGTATACAAGCGAGAGTTGATGGTGATTGTCTTATTTATCAAAAGGTGGTAACCCTATTTGTTGGGGTGACACTTTATCGTCAAGACAGACCAGAGGGGTATGAAGTTTTATTGGAGCAAAGGATGGTGACTAAGGAGCATCATGGGTGGTTATCAAAATTATTTGGATATGATCGCCCAGGATTAGACAGTTCTCCTCCTTCCACCTTTAGAAAAAGGTGTGCTTTTGGGAGGGAGTATTGATACGTCAACGGGCCCCGCAAGATATTCACTATGTAAGGAGGAGGAATTAAGAGAGAGCTATTTCAAAAAGTTTTAATTAAAATTGGGAAGGAATTATCTAGGGAAAGGAGACTGATTTGATTTTAGATTGGGGAGGAAATTAGGATATGCTTATTTTATGGAAAGATGACTACTTTGAATTCATATTTCAGAGGAAATTAGGAAAGTTTTATTTAGGGAAAGATGACTGATTTCAATTCAGATTTGAGAGAAAACTAGGAATGTTTTATTAAGGGACAAATGGTTGATTTGAATTCATATTTGGGAGTGAATTAGAAAGGTTTTATTAAGGGAAAGATGACTGATTTGAATTCATATTTGGGTGGGAAATATGATAGTTCATTTAAGAATAATTAGGTTGTTTTATTTTTATTATGAGATTAATGTTTGTTGTAATTTTCTTAAGAGTTATTCCTAGCGATGTCTAGAATTTGTGAGAGTCAATCTAACTCTCAAATAGTGGATCAATTGTATCTTTTATCATTTGTTGAAGAGATAATAAAAAAATTTGCCCTAATATTTGATTCATGCGTTTTTCTTCTTATCTACTTGTTGTTTTTACTTCCAAGACACATCAAAAATTAATTCCATTCATCTCAACTATATATATGGAACTTATATATAAACTGGCAAGAAGCAAATGAATGGTACATATATGACAACATCAAGCTTTAGCAAACAACATCCACTAACAAGAAGAAAACAAAATGCACTGACGGAGTCCATTGAAATTAAAATCCAACTTCAAGGATACTGAAGTAATATTTCTTGTATAATACACCTATCAACTATGATATCCAACGGTATCAAAAACTTTTGTTCTGAATGAACATCATCATCACCATAGGTGCCATTTTTAATTGGGTATTTTAATGACTTTGCCCAATCTGCTCCACCAGATGCATTTGGTAGCTGGGCACCTTTTTGTAAATTTGCTTCTCCAGCTGAACATAAAGAAATTGAGATGGGTTGATTTTCCACTGTTGCTTTAATAGTATCAGTGGAGTAATCAACTCCTCCAACAGAACCACCCAATTGCACAGACAGAGAAGCTTCAGCCTTAGACCTATCACAAGAACTTAAAGGCAAGCTTTCTGAATGAAGCTTAAAAGGATCAGTAACTGATGAAAAGTTGAAATTTCGCAAATAGGATGAGTCCTTGGTGATAAAACTTGTGTCTTTTGAGTTTCCCACTGTAGGAAGCCACGCAGTTTTGGCTAACATGGGGTTCGTGCTAAAAGCATAGGGCTGACTAAAGCTTGACATGGAATGAGATAGGGATCCAAATGTCTCAGTTGGAGTTTGCATTTCCCTTGACCCATCAAAACTAAGCATGAAAGAACCAAACGCTTTGGCAAAAAATTCTTCTTCACAGCTGAACTTATCTGTACCCCCATCATCATTTTTAAAACAGCATTCAGTAAACTGGAGCTGCTGCGGACTCCCGCATTTCATATAGGCACAGAATGGATTACTCGGTAACCCTCCTAGGGGCCAGCACCCACCAGACTGACATAATTCAGTTAAGTTCTCAAATATTCTAAGATCCTTAATAATATCTGAGTTCGGGGAAGCAGAAATCTGATTTGTTTTCCAGTTTTGATGCTGAAGGTGGGAGCAAAAAGTGATAGGATATAAGTGTTCAGTAAATGTACGGAAAGATGGTGGACGCAAACATGGCCAATTTGTCTTAGCATAAGTTTGTAATATACTGTTTTTAGCATGATCTGCTGGTAATTTTGAAAACATAGATTTTGATGATCTGCATATATTGTCATTCAAATCATAGAAATTTTCAGATATACTTTCATCATTATAATCATGTGATGAGCATTCTGAAGAAAGAGATAGTTCCAACTCGAATGCAGACTCAGTGGACGAACTAGAAGCATCAGAATATGCATTATCATCAGAAGCCCTGCAACAAAAGGTGAAAAGGACCTTTAAAATTTTGAGGATTGAAAGCATTAAATTCAAAAACAATCTTCTTCATTGTAGGCAGCCAGGGTAACTTTTGGTGATACAGGGCCACAACCAACGGGAGACAACAGAAAGGAAAAAAAATGCACTTCTCAATAGGAATGCAAGAGTATTAAGGAGAAAGAATAGCAAGGAAATAAACTTCATCCAACTTTGAAATAAATATTAAACAAAAGATAAAGAGTTATAGGAGCATACACAGTAGTATTTCTATGTATGAAGTTTGATTCGCCATCAAAAACCGAAGGACAAGGCACATTCAAGCCACTTCTCCCAAGCAAGATGGGCAAGGAGCCAAAAGCAATCACCTATAATTTCCTAAAAATCACATCATTTCCTAAATGTATATTAAAGAGATTAGAAAATCAAGCATTTATGGAAGAGAGAAGCTACTACAGCAGACATCACATCCAAAAATAAAGCATTTACCGTAAAGTAATAAAAAATAATACAACGCAGGGGTACAGGTATTAACTAAATAATTGGTCGAGTACTTTCTATGAGAGACTTTCAAACAGTTTTGTGATTAAAACAATAACTTTAAATAAACAAATAATATGTTAAACAGTTTATCAATTCAAAACTACAAAAACAAAATTGATCTTTATATACATGAATTATGTCAAAAAATAAAGCCTATTAGAAAGAATCAAGAATGATAGTCATGTATATGGATCACAAATAGGAAAATTAAATATGGCATTATGTTATGTACAACCTCTAAGATTATTTATTATCTACTGTTTCTATCTGATACTTGCCTAATAAACGAACATATGTAATTTGTGTGCATGTTCTTTTGTACGACTACACTTTTGTTTTGTTTGCCATTGCATGTGTACACTAGTGTGGATGGATACGGACATTTACATCAACATAACATGCACATAAATATTTGGATGGTATTATTTTTATTTCTAGATATTCAACTACATGCATTCATGTGTCAACATTTACAAGTGCATTATTCATAATATCCAGCCTTATCACTGTTCTACATCCTCAAGACTTGTAGTATTTAATAGCCGCATCATATAATATAAAGTATGATGTATCTATTATGCCCATGCTTCGTAGAGTCCTAGTGCATCATGGAAGCTTTCATAACATCTCATAACCTTGGAACCTTTATGATTATAAATAAAACCAGCACTCATGTCAACAGCTAGGCATTTCGCCTGAAGCCATTTATTGTAACAAAATAAAATAAAATAAAATAAAAAACACTCAAGCCATCAGCTAGGCCATAGTGCATAGTTTGAAAAGATTTCACTATGGCCTTAAAGTTATGACAACTACTCCGAACTTTAAAGCTGCAGATGAGAAGTGAATGGCACTCCAACTGTCCAACATGTGAACAGTGTCGTAGTATGGATCACTAAATCATGTGGCACCTATTAATGACTCCATCCTGAGTGGATCAGGCCTTATGATGAACTAATAGTTGGTTGCCACATAAAGAATTGAAAAATTACTGATAATTATAAATCAAAAGTATTGTTTTTTTTCTACAATAACGCTGTGTATCATCCATGTATGGACTAATTCCACTCTTTTATGGGTCATCAAACTACACATCCGTAGGCATCAACCCATCATCATCATCGTGAACATTAGACTTATCCCATGTATGTGAGTTGGATTTAATAAATCATCCAACTCCACTCATTTTTACTGAGTTCTTGCGGGGTCCTGTAGTCGGGATGCCATAGCAGCTGTCTTGTGTTATGTAGTGGCAGCTTCCCTATGGATTCCAGTTTAGTTGCTATATCTGGAACTGTAACTGCTTCTTACATAATCGATTCAAATGCTGCCATTTGAGATTTTTGATAGGAAATACTTGAGTTCGCAGGTAACCCTAAGGTAATACTTTAGTTCGCAAGTAAACCTAACCCAAATCGGTGAACAAACAGCAGCCAAATGGCTGTCCACAGCAGGAAAAATACAGCAAACTGCTGTGTACAGCAGTCAAACAGCAGAATTTTAGAGGAAAACTGAAGGAAAACTCAAAGCACGACTTGTATTTGATGTAGGACTATAAGCTTTCAAATGATGACATAAGAATTTGCACGATCTCTTGAATTAAGCAAGTAAGATTAAAACTATTAGTAATCCAAACGATAAAATAAAACAAGAGAGGGGTGCCTACGTTTAGGCTAAGCCGCTTGCCAAACACTTGGAAAATTCAAAAACAAGTTAGAAATTCAACAATCATGCTAGTAAATAGTCTTCAACAAAAATACATAATCTAACAATAAGATTAGAAACAAATAAAGTGCACTCAACCCTACGTTTACTAAGCTTTGGCAACGACGAAGCAAATTCCTACGTTTACTAAGCTTAGGCAAAGGTGAACCACGGCTCCTTGTGACTCGACATCACCTACAAGATTAGGGGATTAGGAATTTAATTGAAGAGGGGAATAAGTTCACCTTAGTCAAAGTCCGGAAACAAGTAGTCGAGATGTTGAAGAAGTTTGTCGTAGGAGAAGCCGCATTCTGTTTTCCGGTCAGCCATCCATGGAGGACTTTGCTGTTTTGAGTTGGGGTAGTACTAAACACCAAGGAAAGTCTTCTCCGACAAGGGGAAGGCAGTTTGGGCTGAGAAAAAAAATGGTGGACAGCAGTTTCGCCTTCCAAAGCAGCAGTTCTAGAGCCTCCAAGTGCTTAGGATGCAAGGCTAATGGCTGAGATTTCGGCTGCAGTCTTAGGGAGTAGGAGAATCCATGATTTGTGTAGTTTTGGAGAGGTTTTAGTGTAGGAAATCCAGCGGGAAAACCTTGCTGAATTTCAGCCAGTAGGGGGAGACGGGAAAGGATTTAATTCCTAAAATAGAATACTGAATTTTGGTAAGATTTAAGAGGTGATTGCATAAGTAGGAATTTCGGTCAGGTTAAGGGGATGGGTTTTGAATTCTTTCAAAGTGAGAGTAGGGGTTTAGGAAATAAATCATGAGGATTTATTGGGGGGGGGGTTGGCGGCTTAATGATGAGGGAGGAGATTGGGGAGATGATGTGGGTTACTTAATTAAGGCTTTTAGGAATTAGGAAAGTGATTAAATAAATCCAATTTGAATTTGAAATTTAAAGGGATTTAATTTAAGAGCTTTCCTAAAATAGATTTGATAAATTAGGAAAGATTTTGAATTTCAAATCAATTGAATTTGAATTTCAAATCTATCCAAATTCGACTCAATCTAAATTAGGAAACGAGGCTTGGACGGGAAGAGGGGAGGTTGGATGGCCGGCGGCTAGGGGCTAGGGCCGACGGCATGGGGGCTTCCGAGTGTGGTGGCCGGCGATTTGTGGGGAAAGAAAATTGTGGAGGTCGGGTGGAGGAAACAATGGCTTGGAGTTGGAGATGGTTTGGATGTGGAGATGTCCGGTGGTGATGGTGGGAGGAGGAAGGAAGGAAGATAAGAGGAAACCACGAACCCGACCGTCTCCAAGGTTGTTGGGTAATGCGTCAATCTCCCTCTCCAAGGGATCTCTCTCCGATCACTCAAGCTCTCTCAAGAACTCCAAGCAAGAAAACAAAATTCTCAAATAATCATTCATTCATTCATTTCCTTTGGAAGAGCAACATGAGGGCTATAAATAGCCTCTTACAAAAAGACTCAAAATAAGAGGACGACAATGCCCTCAGGGCTCACATACGACCTCCCTTTAAGTAAGGGGTAAAAACGGAAAAATAATTACAACATAATAATAAAAGACAAATAACAAAATAAAATAAATACATGAAATAACTCAAAATACATCGACGCAATCGTGGCCATAGATCGACGGCCACGCCTCTGATATCTGAATCATGCTCTGATGTCCCCATCATTATTCCACTAGACGATGAATAAAATAGCAAGATACAATTGAACCTCAATTCGAGAGGAGGATCGATCTCTCCCAAATCTTTAGACGCCGCTAGAGCCCAAAGAAAACCTAAATCTAAGAGATCTCAAATTTCAGCCAAATTAAAGATACTCAAATCCTAGGAAAACAAACTCTTTAATGCATATAAATCAAAAGGAAATCCCTAAACAGTCCCTACATTCAAATTTCCCTCTCAAAACCCTCAAAAAAGCTTCCTAAAATGCTCTAATGGGGCGGTCGTGCTGCTCGATCTCCGTAGGAGGCGGAGATCCAGCATTATTTGCGAACTGCAAGTCCCGTGCGGACCGACTGGACTGGTCTAACAATACTCCCCTCCTAAATATCCACATTGTCCTCAAGGTGGAAATATGCTCAAGGTGGAAATATGCTCGTGTTCCCGCGGAGGTGGCCATCCTTGAGGTGACTAAAAAACCTTACTGTATTGTTGAACCATGGGCTGCACGGAAAGAGAAACCTCCCCTCCCTACTCCAATCTGATCGCATTCAACATGTGTAGTCCCACCACATAATCTTCTGTTAGACCGGTCCTCCCTGGACCGGTCAAGCCGGCCCAATCCAATGGGTCGGTTCAGGTTTACCGAAGGAGGAGGGCGGGCGGACATGAGGCGGAAGCCGCATGAGGCTAGAGGCGGGGTCCACTTGAAATTCAAGTTGCTTCTTGGAGCCAAAATGAGGGGAAGTGAGGGCAATTAGGTCCTTTTGCATCTATTTTGAATTGTATGCATTAAGTAGGGAGTAAAGGGGAGGTTTAGGGTTATGTGTGATTTTGTTTTGAAGTTTCTCTTGTTCTTCTTGTTGATTTGGGCTCTATATCGTATTCTAGAGATTTGGGAGAGTGCGATCCTCCTCTCGAATAGAGGATCCTTGTATCTTCGCTATTTTTCTTGCATCTATTAGTAAAAATACAAGATTTTCCTCAAGTTTTCTCGCTGTATTTCCCAGATTTTTCCCTGTTTTTGCTGTTTCTCTGCTGTGAGCAGCAGTTTTTGCTTGGATAATTGCTAGAAAGTGAATAGGAAATACTTGAAAGTATTTCCTATCATCTTCCCCCATCTCTTGTATGTCCCTAACCATGGTCTTAAGTGATGTCATGGCTTTGGATAGCCCTGCATCACCCATTATAACCACCTTTCTCTCATCCACCATTAATTCCATCCTGAGTGCTCCCCAATTGTCCTTGGTTTCCCCCAAAGTTTGCAACCATTTCATTCTCAGGATGACATCAGTACTTCCTAACTCTAGAGGAAGAAAATCCTCCGTTGTCTGATGCAGGCCGCTTGGGTGCTAGAAGAGTGGTCGTCGTCCCAAAAGATCCCCCTCAATTGTTTCCTCGAGCCCCTCTTTCTGATTTCTTCTTATCTTTCACTAACTGCGCCAGCTCCATAGCCTTTCCTAGGTTCCTCGGCTCCAGCACCTTGA